CACCGGCAACACCGCCAGGGCTACCGTTAGGGTTGAGAGGGTATTTCTCTGTGGCATTCAGGTGATTGTCGACGTATCGAATCGGAATCATTCCTGCCGCCTCAAGAGCATGTAATGAGCTAGGTGAAGAAAAGGATGCCCTTCCTTCGCCGTGTGAGACGACGATTGGCAATGCCGAACCATTCATGCCATGGAGGAACACCGAAGGGCTCTTCTGGTTATCTTCGATTTTAACCATACTGAAACGCCCTTCGAACTGTTGGCTCGTGTTCTCTTCGAATATCGGCCAATGTTCCGTGCCGGGAATCAGCTCTTTTATTCGCGACAGCATCTGGCAGCCGTTACAGACTCCGAGAGCAAACGTGTCCGGTCTTTTGAAAAACTCTTCAAACTCCCTTCGGGAGTTATCGTGCATTAGTATGGATTTAGCCCAGCCTTGTCCGGCGCCGAGCACATCGCCGTAGGAGAAGCCTCCGCAGGCAGCCAATCCAACGAAATCAGCCAACGAGCGACCGGAAATGATATCCGTCATCATGACATCGATCGGGTCAAATCCTGCTGCTTTAAATGCGAATGCCATTTCGGCATGTCCGTTGACGCCTTGCTCCCTCAGAATAGCTACTCGAGGATTCTTGCCGAAGAACCCTGTGATAGAGGCTGTGAGCGGTAAGATCGTATCGGTGGGATCAAACGTGAGTTTGTAGGAGATACCCGGGTCGGTTTGGTCTTGAATAATAGAATATTCAGACTCGGCGCAGGCAGGGTTGTCTCGAAGCTTCTGCATCTCGTATGAGGTTTTCGCCCACCACTGCTGTATCTCCTTTCTGTCAAGGCTGACGAAAGGTGTTGATCCGTAACGAATTGTCAACGCTTGCTTTGACTTGGGCTGTACGCTACCAAACTTCCTTATCAAGCCCGGAGGTGGTCCACAAGTTGCGAAGCATCTCTTGAAGTTCGTCTCATCCGATGCTCGCACTTGGAACACGGCGCCTAATTCTTCGTTGAACAGTGCGTCGACCATGTCCTCGATCGAACCAGAATTAGAAATTCCGTCCATCATAAGGTCGGCTCCACATCGTCCAGCGAACATCATTTCAGCTACCGTAGTGATCAAACCGCCATCGGATCTGTCGTGATACGCAAGAACAACTCCACTCTGATGCAATTGAGATATCGCATCGAAGTAATCCGTGATTAGATCCACGTCTCGTACATCTGGTGCCTCATGTCCCACGTAGCCGAATGATTGAGCAAGGGCAGATCCTCCCATAGCTTTCCTTCCATTCGCGAGGTCGACGAACATCAGGACTGTCTCTCCTACTTCTTCAACACGTCGAAGTTGCGGGGTCCAGGTCCTTCTAATATCTTCAACGATCGTAAATGCCGAGATGACGACTGACACAGGGGCAGTTACGCTCTTAGTCTTTTCGGATTCGCGGTCCTTCCAAGTAGCCTTCATGGAAGTCGAATCTTTGCCTACAGGTATACTGATTCCTAATCTATTGAATCGTTAATAAAGTTTCCTATTAAGGAAGAACTTCGACATCGCGATGACTATAGGGAAAAGGGGTGAATTATGTAGAATGCAATTTGACACATACCGAGGACACATATCAAGCCCAATGGCTTCAACCGCTTCATAAAGAGCTGCTCCTTCTCCCGGGTGGTTTACGGCTGCCATCCAATTGGCAGAGAGCTTAACTCGTCGCAGATCGCCCATGATATCGGCAGCGGCCAGGTTCATCAAACTCTCGGCCACCGCCATGCGAGCAGACGCGGCAGGAGATATCAAGGCAAGGGTTGGCTTCTCACCCATAGCCATTGCTTCGCCGTGCCTTGTCTTCGCTCCTAGGTTGAACGATGTGGCCGTGACTGCGACGTCGGCTACAGGCGTTTGCCAGGGTCCTACCATTTGGTCTCGTGCAGTAAGGCCCCCAACAGTCCGGTCTCCAATCGTAATCAAGAAAGACTTTGATCCCACAGCTGGCATCCAAAAGACTCTCTGTAGAGCATTTCTCAGCAGTTCAGCATCGGTCGATCTGGCTCCAAACGCAGCCTTTAAGCTAGCAATTGGTTCGAATTTCGGTAGAGTTGGTATATGGGAATTGACTATGCGCTGTAATCGGCGGCCTGGTGGGAATAAGGTTGACATCGGAAGGTTGATAGGTCGTGACGCTACGTTATCTTTCGCATTTCTGTCCGTTAGGATAAGCTTAGGCACGCCGTCCTCATATTCAGACACTACGGTGCCGACGTCTGAAAAGCCGCAACGTTCACGCCCTAGGTTACTAGTTAATATCAATTGTATACATCAGAAATTGCTGAGACTTACTGCAGATGCTCACGAATCGGTTCATCCCTTCGTTGTTGACTAACATAACGTAACGTTCCTGGGCTTCATTGCACCCTATAATCATAGCGGTTAGCAATCCCTCCAGTTCAGTAGCCCTAAATCCAAAATAATCAAGTGGTAACCTCGTGAGTTTGGATATAATACATAGTGATAGGCGGGAGGGGGGGGAAACGGAAAAGTCCGTAAAATCTTACATATCTGAAGAGGACTCAAGCTACGGTCTGCGCTTTCGACTTGACGGAGTTCGAACTTGCCACCGAAACCGGCGTCTTTAACTAACTCCGGAAGAGCGTTGGATAATCCTCCAGCGCCAACATCGTGTATCATTGCCTAGAAGCCTATTAGTAGGTGATAAAATAGTAGACATCGAGTTATGAACATGAGGCCGATCATAAGAATCCGCGATCTAATCAGATTAAAAGTTCGAGAGAAAACTTACAATGGGATTCGCATCTCCTAGGCTGACACATGCATCGATAACCATCTGAGCTCGACGTTGCATCTCAGGGTTACCCCTCTGTACGCTATTGAAGTCGAGGTCCGCAGTCCCTTCCCCGGAAGCGTTACTGGACGCAGCACCGCCTCCGAGTCCGATTAACATGGCGGGCCCACCAAGCACGATGACATGAGCTCCCTCGTGTACATCAGTCGGGTTCTTGAGTGCGTGCCCAGGCCTGACTCGACCAAGTCCACCAGCAATCATAATAGGTTTATGGTAACCTCGCCACTCTGTTGCCGCTGAGGCGTCCGGGTCACTCTTATTGGTACCGTTTGTCAATAGTGTACGGAAGCAGCCGGCAAGAGCAGGGCGGCCGAACTCATTGTTGAAACGAGCTGCGCCAATGGGCGCCTCAAGCATGATATCCAGACTGCTAGCATAATGTGCCGGGCGGCCAATGTCAGTCTCCCAGGCATGATGACCTGGAATGAAAAGGTCAGAGACCCAGAATCCACTAAGACCAGCTTTGGTGGATGAGCCTCTCCCAACAGCAGCCTCATCGCCTGAAGGGGGATAAGTCAGTAGTGTATCTTAATATCCTTTTACAACAAACTAATAGCATATTGCAAAGTTTGTTTTTGAAATCTAGAGGTAGCAACTAGGTGAACTATAGATTGACTTACGGATCTCTCCACCTGATCCAGTGGCGGCTCCTGGGAAAGCTGGTGATGACCAGAAGTTAGCACATACTACGCTCATCGAAAGTAAACCATGATACACCAGTTAGATACTCACGAGAAATGGCGGTAGGATGATTATGGGTTTCGACTTTGGCTAGCACATGTACGACTTCTCTATTGAGTTTCCACGATCCGGTTGCATAATCAGGTGCCCAATAGCTTCCCATCTCGCCCTGCATTACGGCAGCATTGTCACTGTAGGCTGAGACAGTGTAGTCGGGTGTCTTCTTGTGCGTATTTCGGATCATGTCGAACAGACTCAAATCCTTAGTTATACCATCTATAGTCCAGCTCGCATTAAACTGCCTACGGTTCATTATTAGTTGTATTCGCTAATGCGAATTTCTAGCTAAGGGTAGGCTAATAGCAAAGGAAGACTACCGTGAAGGTAGGCATGAAATAAAAGCAACATTTGAATGTTGGGTAAGAGAAGATAGGTAATTGAGAGTACTATGCATGCTTTAAGCTTATGGTTACTTACTTATGACGACAATGTTCGGAGTTTACTTGAGCAAACATGAAGAGCTCAATATCATTCGGGGGTCGTCCAAGCTGAGTAAACTCTCGGACTAGGTATTCCATTTCGGATTGGTCCAGGGCCAGGCCGTGTTCGGCATTGTAAGCTTTCAACATATCAAGAGGACTTTGGCTTCCGGAAAATATATCAACAACTTCCAGGGGTAAGGGCTCTCGCTCTATGAACATTGAGTCAAGATCTGGCTCGCTTGTGGATATGATCTCCGTCATTCGGTCGAACAGTGAATCCTTGAATGGGATTTCATCGCTATTGAAGGGCTGCTCGAATTCTAAAGTGACGGATCGCGCCCGTTCAACTCGATGAACCTGATCTGCGAGGCCGCAGACTTCGCAGACCTTGGTAGCCTTGGAGCTCCATGGAGAAATGTTCCTGGGCGCTATATAATAAGTGCGCGTGTAGCCAATATGTGTTAGAGGCTGCTGGCTAGCATCGCTAGGTAACGGGAGTAGCTGTTGGAGTTTGGGTCCAACAACGTTCTTATCACCTTTGATATGCGCGTAATAAATCCAGGAGCCCAGGATGTTGGTGACCTTGATAGGTGTAGTCTGGTTGATGCGATCTTTTAACTTATTGGCCTCGGAGGGCGTGAAGCAAGACTCTCCGGTAAGGACAATGTATTCCATCTTTCCCGGTAGCGACCAGAAGGTCCGAGGATATTTGAGATTTAGAGGCTCTAATGCAACCAGAAGCACTCCTCGATTACTTGAAGACTTATTGAATAGCGTGAAAGAAAATGTTCACAGCTATGTGGGGTTCATAGTTTTCTTTGGAGGGGTACGTGAAGACCCTGCATGTACGGTTAATGCTAAGCTGTCCAATCATCAATAAAGTACAAACCTAATTCTGTCTAGAGTCAAACGTGCGATAAGACGATAAGCATCAGCGGATGTGACATTCAACCGCCCCGATCTTAGAAATGGTAAGAGATATGTACGTCAATCTTAGGTAAAATTCAGGGGTTATTTAGACTTACCCTCAAGAGTATGTTTATTAGGCATTATCCAAAAATTATGACCAGCTGTTTGAAAAGCTCCACAACATAAGTCGCGATTTACTCTAAGTACCTAAGGTATTATCGTGTACATTAGCTTCATTCCGCCGAAGATAACCAATACTCTTCGGATGAAAATTCGAGTTCCGACCCACGCCGAACATCCCTCGACTCAAACCCGCTTTGCCATGCAATTTTAGTGTTCGCCAATGTGTTCCACGAAGAGTTCTACGTAGGATTAGGACAACCGCGCGACCTTCCGCTCTGTCCGGTGCTACTCGATAAAGCATCAAAAATGTACTTCCTCACGACGTTGGCTGCCTATGCCGCCCCAACGTTCCTGATATTGTCGCCTATTTTGTCATACTCCGATCAGGCAATCTCTATGCATAAGAACAGATCAAGTGCAGGTTTCTCACTGGATATTCCTCTGATCATGCTTGTCGCATCAATATTCAGGTTTGCCGGCCCCTACGATCTTATATACAGAAGCTTCCAGTTGTCATGCTAACAACATTATCATTAGGATCTTTTATTATCCGGGTGCGAGATTCGATGTAGCGTTGCTGATCCAGTCATTCTGCAATATCTTCATCCAACTTATCCTGCTAAAGATTGCTCTCGATCACCGTCCGCCGCCGTCGTCAAAAGGAGGTGATGCCGCCCTTCCTTTCGCAGGCGCACAGGATGGATTCGGGGGATTTCAGCGACCTTACAATTTTTGGCAATGGCGGTCACCGAAACCGTAAGTTTTACCCCTCGAGATCTGGTCTCGGCGCTTCTGCTAATCCTAGATGCTATGTAGCTATTGGCAATTTCTATTGTCGTTGTTTATCAGCTTGACTGTACTCGAGCTGTTATTAGCACCATTCAATTCGGTCTACTCTGGATATTCGGATTTGATAGGATATATCGGCTTGTCAGTCGAGGCGACGCTGCCGATTCCGCAGCTCGTTGCTAACGCACGCTCGCGATCTTGCAAAGGCTTTCGTTTTTCCGTATTAGCAAGTTGGTTGGTTGGAGATGCCATGAAGATGTTTTGGTTCTTTACGTCTACCACTTCAATTCCAGTGGCGTTTAAGCTCTGTGGAATCTTCCAGGCTGTCTGCGACTCCCTCATCGGCGTCCAGTACTTGATGTATGGCGACCAGCAACCTGCGATAAAACCGCAGCAGGGATGGACATATTCCGGTGTAAAGCCGCATCTACATGTAACTGGGAGAGAAACGCCGACAGGGAGAAGGACACCCCTTGGGGAGAAGACAATCTGAATAATGACTATAATACTATTAAAACGGGTGTGGCCTGGTATGCCTGTGACTGTATATATGGCATATGACCGTAGTTGCAGTAATAAGTGTGGTAGTACGATCGAATCTTGAAGTCAAAAACATGGAACTTCACCGTAAGGCTACTAGATTTTCTTTCTTGAAAAGTGATGAAACTACAGCCGTAGTTACTAAAACAATTACATGTAAGAATTGGGGTATACATATGTGCCTAGGTCTATAATTGTCAACTTATAGTGTACATTTACCCTGTAATAAAAAGCAAAACGACGTCCTGCTAAAGACCTATTGCTATGCTTACCTAATATCGTAACACGCGCTATGGTACGCGAGTGGCTGATGTGATACATCAGCTAATTATTCTCCAGACAAGGGTGAAGAAGTCGTGAATTAGTGCTAATGAGTACATTCAACACCTGACTTTCCCCGCGAATAATCAGCCACGAAATCATATATCTATAGCTAAAATAGTACCTGTCAGATCAGGGCGAAATACTAACTTCTATATGTACCAATCTTACCAACATCGAAGTGATGTGTTATCTCATTTGGACGTGGGGGATTCTGAGGATGTAGTTACGGCTTAACTGATACGAACGTTAGTGCACTCGACTTTCTCGAGTAGAACGCGCTTAACAAATCTTCTCATTTTAATCCATTCAATCTAATACTTAACCACCATCGCATCCACACATTAAAAAACTCCTTTCTATACATATATTGGCGTCTATCTCTCCCACTTTGCGACTTCACATAATACCCTAGACATCTCCTAGCCATAGTCGATTTGTCACTATCTTCGGCCCCTTTAACCTAAGGTAGCGCCAAGTACTAAGACGTGGTATTGTTCATAACCCCTAATATCTATATGTCTTATTTCGACACAGCTATCATCTCAACTATACCTATTCTCTAGGACCATCTCCAAGTCTCATATCGAGTTATTATCACGCTTTAAGGCAAGATCTCAATTTTTTAGAACCTCGAGCTGTTCCAGGCCGTCGGTCTTGAAATTGACCTAGTGTTGTAAGTTGAATTTGTTTGTTTCGGTTCCTCATCCAGTTATCGTGTTAAGAACTATATGGCACTTATGGCATTGCCTTCAAACCCCGTTCTTCGAAGCACATTGAAGCCAGATGCCGCAAGAACAGTCAAAAATATCCTGTCATATTTCCCTTCTCGATAAACACGTTAAGTCCCTTGCAACACTTTTCCTCAGATAGCAGCATCTCATTCCCTTCTATAAATTTCCCAGGTAGGAAGCTATAGAACTCAGACCAATCGATCTACACAAATATTAAGTTTCAAGTTCACATCTCAAGTTCTCTACCAGTCACTTACTTACATTAGAAGCAGTTGGCAAGTCGTGCTAGAATTTGGAAGTTGGGTGACGTTCAATCATCGTTTAGGTGATTAGTATATTGCCATTGCCTCTAATTGATCCTGTGATTGCACTATACGTACAGTCCGATTCCTCAAGACGTTCCTAGGCAACAACACAAATCGAAGCAGCATTGAAGAAGCGCCGTCTATTTGACGATTGCCTGCAATTGCGTAGCAAACTGGTAAGCAACCTCCTCCCTTAGCACACCTTCCGGTCTTTTCAACACTCAATTCAATTCAATATTTGACAAACTATTCCACCTCGTATCTCCGCTATAATCTCTCTATCACCATAGCCATTCTTACCATCTGCTATATCCAGCCCTAATCTATCAACAGAATCGTGCATCACAGGATCCAACTTCTCAGGCCTTGCATCAGGCTACCCCGACAATTTCAACATTTACCTAGTGTTTACCAAGGTCTTAATCTTGTAAGTTATTTCTATTCTTAGGCCTGAAGCTGCATATCCCATTCCCACCGTTTCTTTACCCTATGTACGTACCTACTGAAGTACCTAGGCAATCTACTGTTGCTAGGATCGTCAATGCCTCTTTCTATAACATATAACATCCTCCCATTCCCCATATCTTCTTAGATTTAACTTCGTCCACCCGGCAGCTTCCCTTTTACTACCTATCCTACATCATCTAAACATCGCAACACCCTTACCCCCCTCCCCTTCTAAACATTTGACCGTTCTACACGTAAACAACCCATCCTTTCCTCACAGATATCCCGGGTGTCTTGTTGACTCCCCCCGATAGAACATCTAAACGTCATTACATCCCCATAGTTCACGCAAATACGCAATCCTCTTACCTCGTGATCGTCTCGCCTTCACTCATCTCTAACATCACTGTACAGTGACGCCTTTACAACGCCCACGATGGCTCCTACTCGAAACCGAGTGAATTTTAAGACCTACGAGACTAGCACTCGCCTGCTAGCTGCTGTGGTCGCATCCCTCGAGGGCAAGGCCAAGCTCGACTACGATGGTACGTGTGCTCTATTTTTATGATCCTCTGCTTGAATTATTCTATACCGTTCTCTTTAACTGCTCTCTTGATGTGTATCCTATGTCCTATTAGAGGGCCAGCAGAGACGGTGTAATCAGAATACATACAAGACGGATCGCACTACCTCGGGAGAGAGGCGTTGAAACAGTTATACTTCTGTAGTGTCTGCTTGTATTAGATAGACCTACTGTTTGCACCACGAGCTGATGTGACAGTAGTGATTGCGTTACTAGTGGGAGGAGGCAGCACGGAATCCGCTGTGGAACACCGCTTGCGTCCTATTAAGCAGCTGGGCAAGTTGCAAGTCGACTGGTTTATGAACAAAAGAAAGGACCCGGGCGAGCTGCCTGTCGAGGGTGGAGGTATATTCTATACCCCTCTCGTATTACTGAATCTTCTATTCTTATTTCCCCTTTTCCATTGCTACTTTCTATGACTTATTACAATGGAAGAAGTAACTAATACCCTCTTACAGAAATCCAGAAGCTCTTCGGCGAGTCTACTGCCGCCGGCATACAGTGGCAGATGCGTGATGTGAAAGCTCTAGGTCGCGCGCAGCGACAGGCCGTCGAGGCAAACAAAAGTCCCTGGGATGTTAAGCTCGAGGCTCCTACACGCGCCAAGGCCTCCGCCGCGTCAACACCTACGAGCAGGGGCGGTCGCACACCCTCCACCGCAGCCTCTTCGAAGCGTAAACGCGGCCCTAAGAAAGTGACTATGTCCGAGGATGATACTGGCCTTGACAGTGCTGAGACCGACTACGATACAAAGGATCTCCGCTCAGATGACGACGATGTCCTTCAGATCACGCCCACACCCAAACGCCGCAACACTCAAGGTCCCAATAGCGCCAACGCGGACAATACCGCCACACCTGTTCCAGCTAAGAACAACAGCAGCGGTGGCAGCGGTGGCAAAGATGTCACACGCTCCCTCTTCGGCAACGGTGCCAAGTCAGCGCGCGCCAACAACAACAACAACAACAACAACGATGACCAGGTCCAGTTCGTCGATCTGAGCGAGGACACACCCCCGCCCCCATCCAGAACGACCACGAGCGCGCCCCAAGTGAAGGCTGACCCAGATTCAGACCTGGTATCGGAGGAGAACAGCCCAATTAGACCGGGCCACGACGACCCTTTTATTGGCAGCAGCGGCATGTTCGACGACGACGAGCTTGCGGATGGAGAAGTCTAATGTTACCGATCTCATAATCCGGGCTACGGCAAAAGTGCGAATGTAGATATCGCGCGTTTCCATCGCCCTCTCTTCTTTCGGTATTCTCTATGACGAGCAACAGGTTCTACGGCGTTCGGTTTATTCTCTTTTTTCTTTCTATCAACTCGAACGTCCTTGCGAACAGGTGATTAACGCATGACTTTATGCCGACAGGTCGCCTCTTTTCAGCACAGTTTGTACAACATCGTCGTATCGTCGTCTCTTCATTTCTACTACATTTCCTTATCAGTACTAGGATCGGCAAAAAGGGGGGGGAAACAGAGAGAAAGAAAAGCAATGGACGGGATAATTTGTGATTTTACCCAACAGGGGCCGAGATATCCTGCGTTCTCTCATCTGACGGGAGATATATGAGTTAGTACCAACTTAGGGGTTTATGGACACGAGGGCATCTGGACAGATCAGGGGGACAAAACCAAGACAACTATGCCGTCACTCCTTTATCTCCACCGATATTTCGGTATATCTATTAGTGCATTTGCGATAGTTTTCATTTCATCTCGCTCCTCGGCTCTGATTTACAGGCTGGCCCTCATAACAAGAGATGCCATTTTTCTCGCATGGCGATGAATTTCAAGAACTGATCTGCGAATGAATAAGATAGAAATCAGCAGCTTTATTTACCTAGTTAGGCAGGCAGACTAGCTGCTCTCATGAATACTATCTCGCATGTTTTCTTTTATTTAACTTAGTCAAGAAGTAATCTCCATAACGCGTCCTTGTCCACGAAATCATGATGAATGATATTGACCAGCCACGAGTCTGCCTTGGCCTTCTCGAGCAACTTTTCGGTTTCCGATCCTTTTCCGTAGATCTGCGCCCACTCGCCAAATATGCCAAACGCCTCCTCGCTCCACGCCCTGAAGCTGACTTCCTCTATGATGGTCGGCGTGACGATTTCCTTGCCTGGGAACACGCCCCATGTCACCGCGTTCGTACTTGATTCTTTGACTTCGCCCGCCAGACCTCCTGTCAAGTCGGACGATACGAAGTCTCCCGCGGCGTTTGCCGCGTAGAAACATATCGTATCTTGCACCTCGGAGCTCTGGAGTTTTTCAAGAAGGACTTTCCAGTCGGCGGACGGGATGAAGAATTCGACGAAGGCTTTCTGGAACACGAAACCATGCTGCGGACCCCAGCCGAAGACGGGATCGGACGAGCGTAGGCCGTTGACGGCGGGCTGCGAAGCAACAGTCCACCAGCCTTTCCTGTTAAGTTGGATGAGCTGCTCGGTAATCATCCCGGTCTCTTCGTTGAACTCCTCCTCGCTCCACGGAATAGCCGAAAGCTCCTTTTTTAGATGCCGGACCATTATGTCATTGATATCTTCCCGCTTGGTCGGGTAGCCCCAGAGACTGACGGCTTGTGCATGAGAGACGTGCAGACTAGGCCCATATCCGTCTATTTCGCCGTAGGCGGGGGACCGGGCGTCACCCCATCGGCCGTTGGGGAAGTCATCCCACGTCGCTTCTCGGCCGAGGACACCCTCGCCTTCAGAAATCGCTAAGGTGTTAGCTCGGCTATTGATGGGATCTGCCGGTATACTGGCTTCGGCCGAGGTAGCTTCGTATTCGGGGTGCGAGACCGGTCGTCCGGAGATGATGACCCGATTGCGAGTTTCCGAACTAACGTTCGATTGCCTTCGACTTCGGGAGTTATCTCGTGTCTGAGGGAGAATTTCGTGGTCTAGAGATCCGTTGACTTGGAGCGCCGGGATCTTAGACGTGATATCTTCGATTGCCTCTTCATTGGTAGGGGTGCTGAGGGGTATGAGATCTGTTCTTTCGATGACGAAAGATACGGCCTTTTCGAGATTTAAGGTATAGAAGTGGAACCCTCTAGGCCCGGGTGTTCTTCTTGTGATCTCCTTGACCTTTTCGACGATCTCGCATAAGATATCTACACCAACGTTCTTGACCTTCTCATCGTCCATCTTCACAGTATCTAGCCGAGACATTATCGTGTCCGGTATCTGAGCATGGCTGAGCTTCGTTGTTCGCTTGATCATCTGGTAACTCTGAATAGGCATCAGTCCGGGAATGATGGGAATCGTCTTGAATGCGCCGCTGGGGTGGTTCCTGAGGGTCTGCTCGAAATTGTCATAAGCTTCTGTGTCGAAGAATAATTGCGTCATGAGGAAGTCGGCTCCCGCGAGAGTTTTGTCGACTAGGTAGGGAAGGTCGTGTTCTAGATTCTGGCCCATTGGATGGCTCTCATCGGCATGGCCTTCGGGGTACGCTGCAACGCCGATACAGAAATAATCGCCATGAGTCTTCTTTATATACCGCACCAAATCAATGGCCCATTCAAAGGTCTCATCTATAGCATCCTCGGGACTCTCGTTCGGATCTTGATATTCCGCAGCTCTTGGAGGGTCGCCCCTCAAGGCTAGGATGTTCCTAATACCCAATGCCTTCGCATCTTCTAACGCCCCATCGATCAATTTCCGGCTCATGTTCGTACATGTTAAGTGTAGACATGTCGTCAGGTTCAACTCCCTCTGACATATCTCGGCCAGCTCGAGCGACTTCGTAGCAGTGGATCCCCCGGCACCCCATGTTACATTTACAAAGAGAGGTCGCAGCGCTCGTGCCATTCGATCAAGACGGTCGCGTAAGTTGGAGAATCCCATAGCAGTTTTGGGAGGGAAGAACTCGAGCGAGAAGTAATTGGAATCGGCCGGCAAAGCGGCTATCTTGTCCGTGATTTTCTCCATATTGAATAGTCCCGCTCAGCGCGGTTTGTTGCAAATGGCGAAGGATTTCTAAATCTAGAATATAGGAGTATATTTAACTTGGAATATCGCTCGAAACCGAAGGCAAATCGAAAATATGAAGAGTAGTTGGCCTAGTAGAGGCCGGATCGGCACGAAGGAAGTCCAGTCGATATGTAGCTACAGACGGCAACAGTATAGGTAGTAAGGACAGGACTGATAAAATATCAAGACATGTAGTATCCGAGTCCAAAATACCGCAATGAACGTGTAATGGGCCGTCGTACAGCGTCTGAATTCTCGTAAACAGTAGATATGTTCGCTTCTTGCAGCTTGTACGACTGATTCTCTTTTGTGGAAATTTTACTATTTTACTATGTAAAAGGTTCCGGTCGGCAAGGTCTGACATCGGTGTGGGGTACCTGCATGGAACCCCGCATTACGGGACATGGACATGGAACATTAACTCACGTACCCAAAGCATGGTCGTACCAAGACTTTCATTTCTTACCTAATAAATCCAAAGATAGGAAGGTACTTGAGATGGTAAACGGAGCGTCGGGTTGCACTTCCATGTTCGGATTGTCTGGACCCCTGAATCGCTTCTCGGAATTATTCCTAAAACTCACTAGGCTATCTGCATTCCTCATCGAATTTCTAATCCAAATTCTAATTCACCAAATCGTAGGGCGCCTGCAATGCTAATGCAATCCTAAGGTATAATGACACCTACTTAAGATAAGAACTATACTTCGTAGTGGACGGTCTCTAATCCCTACATTTACGCCCTACATTATGTAGGCATCCGTATTAATCCTTTTTCTTGTCTTACTCCATCTTCGGAATTGTACATACTTCATCTTAAACAGTAGGTATACACAATCGTAATATCTATCTTAATCGAGAATCGTTGGCTTAGGCTCACGATGGAGACGTCCAATCATACCATTGTCGGCACGGCACCGCCGTTGCCGAAAGATATGTCTCACCACTATTCAGATGTAACGAAGGCTCGGGCCCCAAGTAGAATGAAGGAATTCTATAAGTACTTCCTAATACCAAACATCGGTCAACTCGCAGGTGGTACGAAACGCCTTTCGTCGTCCTATCTTGTCAATATTCGTGCCGATCTTTAAGCTTAACATTAAACTTAACAATAGGTCTCCCTAGTGCCCAACTCTTCCCCTTCGACACCTTGGAAGCCCAGACCGCGAAACCGGATCGATGGACCCCGACACCCAACTATCCGGACCCCGATGGCACGCTATCTTCCCAACTAGCCGCAACGTCCATCTCAAAACGGGCCGTAGCCTCACATGTCGTCGTACCTCACGATGCCCCGGCCTCAGACCCGAGGAAGAAGATAGATCTCGCTTCTGCCTTACAATACGGCCAGGCTGATGGATACCCGCCGCTGCTTTCCTTCGTCCGCGAATTCACGCGGGATTACCTACATCCAAATGTGCCTTATAGAGGCGGGCCGGAGGTTATATTCACAGTCGGTTCAACAGACGGCATGTCCAAGACATTGGAGGTATTCAGCAACGTTTGGGCAGAAGGGAAGAATGACATCCGGGAGCGACCAGGCTTGCTGTGCGAAGTTTTTATGTACGCCAATGTGCTCACTCAGGCGCAACCTCGAGGGATCCAAGCCGTACCCATTGAAATGGATGATGGGGGTATGTTGCCGTATGGTCCTGGAAGTTTGGAGGATACCCTTGCAAACTGGGATCACAGCAAGGGGAAACGTCCGCACTTGCTGTATACCGTAACGTGAGTTCTCCCCTACCCAATTGTTCATTTATGAGACCTAGCGTCCATGAATGCGAAATTCCATAACATAGACCTACTTGGAAAGTGCGTAACTTACTAAACATAATTCTGTAGAATGGGTCATAACCCAACAAGTGGCGTCTTGTCTCTCGAGAGGAGGAGGGAATTGTACTCGATCTGCAGCAAATACGACGTCATCATCATCGAGGATGACCCTTATTGGTACCTCCAGTACCCTTCGGCGGCGGTTGAGGAGGCAAAAGCGAGAGGTTTACCCATCCCTGAACCAAAAGTAGCGAATACCCTTGAAAGGAAATCTGGGTATGAATACCTGGATTCTCTTGCGCCATCATTCCTGAGTATCGATATAGACGGACGGGTTGTGAGATTAGACACTTTCTCCAAGACCGTAGCTCCTGGTTGCCGGATGGGATGGATTACCTCGAGCCCGGCGATTTGTGAGCGTATCCTCCGTGTTAGTGAGACAGGCACACAGCAGCCCTCCGGTTTCGTCCAGGTTGTAGTCGCCGAGACTATCATGGGACCGCAACCCGAGGCATCACCTGCATTTGCAGCCCGATCCGCGAAGCATCGGGCCACTTTCAGCGGCTGGAAAATGGATGGCTGGGTGCGATGGCTCGCCGGTCTGCGGGGCCAGTACGAGAGGCGCATGAATCGAATGTCCAAGATCCTCGAAGAGAATGCGTACCAACTAAAACAGTCGACACCTATGCGCGAGTCCGACTCCGATTGGGGCGTCATCACCAAGACCCAGCTCTACGACTTCCAATGGCCCCGCGGCGGCATGTTTCTGTGGCTGCGCATGCGCTTCGAGACGCACCCGCTGTGGAAAGCCGCCGGGTCCCGCGGCAACATTATCAACGGTGTTGCGCTGTCTACCGCGCTTATGATCTTCCTCACGCGCAAGCCGTTCCGAGTCCTAGTCAGCCCAGGTCTAATGTTCAGCGCGACCGAGAAAATCCGCAACGAGCGCGGCTGGGCGTATTACAGACTATGCTTCGCGGCCGAGACAGAGGAGAACATCGACAAGTGCTCCCTGCGCTTCGGCCAGGGCGTCCAAAGGTTCTGGCGCATTAAGAATGTGAAAGAGCTCGAGGCCATACTTGATGATGCTAGTGCGGCGCAGACGCAGGAGCAGGATGAGGCGGGTCTGGTGAATTTGGGGAGTTGGATGGGATGCTAGGGTTTTGCACGGATATAAAGGAGATGTAGACGAGTTGGGAGGTCGGAGTTGTAAGATATATCACGTGCATGACTTGAATGAGCAGCATCGTGAAATATAGCTGCTCATGAAGTCAAATTATGGATATATCAGGTACCATTCGGGTATATATTTACTTTGGGGATAGAACACAATTCAATTTAGAATGAATATAACGATCCAACGAATAAATTTCCTCGACCATAATAGTCTTATGGGCATTAAGTTCTGATGATATAAATGGGACTGGATGGGTGGTCTTACGTATAAGCTGGTACGTTATAAGTGTTCGACGAGGTTATAAGGTTATATCCGACGGCAATTGAAACGAGACAAAATAGCTACAGCAAGACCGAAGCTTAGCAAAAACTAATGGACATAATTACTGCACACGAACTCGTAGAGAGTTAAAGAACAAGCTTGATAGATTACCCTTGAGGGGCTTGCTATGATGCATAGACGATCACCAACGAGGTGGGAAGTGGCGATCATAATAAGAATGTCATTGATTGATTCATCAGTCCCTATGATCCAGTACGCCGTGACTATTGCAACCGATTTACCGTTCCCCATCGCCTAGACTACGCTGCTCACCAAGCGAGTCCAATCTAATCCTCGCGGAGAACATCCAGGAAAGTCTTGGCGGGCTTAGGGGGCTTGCCAGCCTCCGCCTTCTGCTGACCAACCTGGTTCTTGACGAAGGTGGCGTGGTAAGGGTTGAACCGTAGCAGGACTTGCTTGTTGCGTAGAGGGTTCTTCTGCACAGCAGCGCGCTTGGTCAAGGGACCACCCTTGGGGGCGTTGAGGACGCTCTGGATTTCGGAGCTGTTGATCAGACGGCTCAAATCAGACTGGGAAACCAGGTTGGAAGGTAGAAGGAAGTCCTTCTTCAGCTCTGAAGGCTTGGTGGTGGTGCCGTAGATCTTGTCGAGGGCCTTGAAAGCGGCCGAGGTCCAGACGATGAATCGTCCGAGGTGACCACCAGGGGCGAGCTGGAGGAGGTTCAGGGCGTAGACAGAGCTGGTCTCGACACCGGGAAGGTTGCGGGTACCAGTGACAAGCTCCTTGCCATCAACCTCGGGGTCGTAGATGACCAAAGGTCCACGTCGCTGGCGGTGGCGGCGGCCTCTTAGCTTACCCTTACCAGCGCGCAGCTTCTTCGTCTTCTTAGCCTTCTCAATGTCGGCAGCGGCACCAACAGCGTTCAAGATGGCGAGGGCACCGGCAGTCTTGGCAGCAGCACCACCCTCGAAAGCAGCCGAGTCGATGACGAGAGGAACTTCCGGGACGGAAGAGATCTGGTGACCGCGGGCGAGCAGTAGAGGGGGGACAGCGGAAGCGGCAAGAGCAGAGGCAGTAGCGAATCGCCTTTTCGAGAAATTAGTTTATATTGTCAGAGGTTAGTCAAATTATATCACTCACTTCTGGCCCTGGTTGATCTTAATGTGCCACTTTCGCCAGATCTTGGTAGGGGCGAACATGCGACCGGAACGACACATGTTACCGAAGGCAGCCTGACCGGCACGGTGGGTACCACCACCAGAGACACGGGGAATACGGGCAACGGCACGACCTGAAGAAGACTGTCAGTGATTTGCAAAAATAGCTATCTCTAGACCTGATTCCGGCGCGGAGAATCATCCATGGCAGACATTTTGATCCCCATCTTCCCCACACCCAGATAAAATATGAAGACTACTGACCAGTTCCCCAAGATTCGGCAGAGGTTTGGTGACCAGCCTTCTCGCTTACAGCATAAGGCTGTCGCTTGTTCTTGGCCATTCCAGTGTGGACTTGCTGGACGATATCAGGTCGAATCGGGGAGGCAAACACGGTAGGAATGGTATGGGTAGCTCCCGAGGGAGAACCATCCTTGCCGATGATTGTGACAGTCGGTCGAGAGGCCATCGTGAAGGTCGTAATGCTAAAAGGATGTGAGTTAGTCAATTGCGAGCATGAGAGTCGAATTATGATCGGCCAGAATGGACAATTGAAGTGGAATAAAGAGAGTCTAGCTTCCGCGAACTTACCTCGACGCTGGGTGTTGATGGTCTCAAGTTGCGATTTGGTGATGTTGAACTGCGAAAAATCAAAAAGCCCACCACAGAATTATTTTTCTTGTGGGTTTGCGCGAGGGCTAAGCGAATTTTCGAAGGATAGCCCCACCTTTTTACACACCAGCTCTCATAAATGCATTATGCATCTAAGTAGTAATATAAACACACAATCCACCCTATTACCTGCATAACAGGTCATACATCTGAACTTGGGAGATATGACAGTTGCCTCTCCAATATACTTTAGGCGATGGTAAGCCGCTCACTCACAAGTGCCAATCAAACCTTTAGCAAAGATATGATCAAGCTAATCAAGACAAGAAGATCAACGACGTCCAAAAAAAAAATTTTATTAAAAGAAAAAAATACAGTCTAAATAAATATAAAAATAAACTCCGAATCGGGGAATCGAACCCCGGGCTTGACGGTTCATTGTTAAATCTTGAGAGCGTCAAATGTTAGCCACTACACCAATTCGGATGGATGTTTAATTAAAAGTTCGAAATGTTTATTTATATTCCGTCATTTTAGCCGGCGGTAAAATCACGGTGCGCAGCCCTTACATAGTCGTTGTTAGATAAAATTTACGTCATCGGTCGGTACCCTAGGTATTCTAATTCTATATCTAACAACCTGTCCGGCTTGAACTGGTCTTGCAGGTAGGTATTACGGAATGCATTGTTGATTCTCAAGTCTTGCGGCCTTGCAGGCCCTACTCAAATAGCGTACATTATGATCACCTGGCAACACTAAGAAATAAGTTTTAGCTATAATAGTATCCCTTATACTACCTATTTACAAGTCGGCAACTCAGCATATCATCTGTGCCACAGTGGGAATAGTTATTAATTGAGTTGGAAAAAGACCTGTTACATACAACCTCGTCTGAGGTCAGTCTTTCTAGGTAGCTTAACTCACGGACTTTGGTCTTATAAGGATAGAAAACAAGTGTACGTGGTTTGTCTAATTGTATCTAGCTCAGCTATAAGAAAGAGTATGTAGTCTTACATTACAAGTGAAATCAAGCATGATTCTGCGACAGGAATAAAGGCCGATGCAGTAGCACCGTCACAATCCGATTTCCCTTATCTAGCATAGACCTCAAAAGACTAAGCAAACCGTATCTATCATATCACATATCATAAATATTTCTTATGGGCATTATCCGACTTTACAATTGCTTCGATAACATTCGCCAGCCTGAGTTGTTTGCTTTGGTGAGATGGCGGGCGCTAAGATGCGAGAGGAAGTTCCAAATTCAAATAGTGCCGAGTTAGCGACGCCGATTGCATGTATATACTATGTATGTACATATGTAGGTACTGCTCTTGCAGAGTCTGAGAGTCTAGATCTTTTCTACTATGTACCTAGATATGTACTTACTGGAAATTCCAGGTCAAGGGACCCATTAACTTAGCCTTCCCGAGCCGCTGCTGATCCTCGTCGCAAACCATTAATTTTTAAATAGACCCGCCTTATGCACGTGTTTGCATTTGGATAGCTATCGGATCGAAAAAGAAACATGATATTTCTTTTTTCCTTCCACATCCAATAAGCGCTTAAAGCTGGAAGTATTATTCGCTTATCTGAAGCCTTTAATGTTGTCTGTGTTCAAAGACCACATATTACACCGGTGAAATTTTAAGTCCGGTCATTAGCTACAACATATGATATCTTTTTTAGAACCATTGAATCGTTGAGAGGCACTTGCGACTCCACTTATCCCAACTTGGTGAGATAACCTCATCACTATTATATACGTGCCATAGCAAGATGAATCGCTCAGACGAAATCCTAACTCATAATTCCGAGGACCCGACAACTCGGCTAGCGCCGTAATAGTCCTATATATAAGGTATCTGCGTCATCGGCCTTCTGTAACTGTTTGCCCGGGCATAGTGCTAACGGCTGACGGTTTGATGTTGTTTAGCACAAGGTTCTATCAAGCCTATCTTTATACTGTATTCAATTATACTAAGCTTGAGATGCCGTGCTACCAAAAGTCAGGCTACTTGTCATTTACAAGTCATTGTTTATACTAATACGGAAAGTCCCCCGTCTCGGTGGCTTACGAAAACGAATTCAGTTGGTCTGGACTGGTTAATTAAACGCGGAACTGATCGAATGACTACTTAGCCTCTGACCAGCAGTAATAGCCACATAGATTTACGGTAACAAAGTATGGACTACCCACTAATGACTCAATCGGAATGCTCAACATGTATCTATACGACCCTTTCTGTTCCTTGGAACCCTCCCGCGCCATAGTCTCATCTACGACCTAACATGTAAAACATCCGTTGATATTTAACGGATACTTGTGAGGCATCTTCAGTCTACCCTTGAGATATAAACGTCGAAGGGTCAATGCATTACACGTTTATATTCCGATAACTAATCTATAAGCAAACATACAAGGCTAGTTATTTTAACTGATTTACGGCTCAAAGTTGCCGCCTAAGGCCATTACAGACAAATCCGCTTTCGACCGGTACCCGAAGTAGCATTGCATCTTACCTACATTACTGCGAGGTCTCGTATTTTATGGCTGCAGGGGTCTTGCAGCTGTCAGTCTCGGCGGCTCGCCCTCCTATCTCGCAGAAATTGCCCTAATATTACTAGGCATGAGACGATAGTCAAAGCGACGGTAAAATACTATATCGTAAGTACTCAAATACCTCTTATAATAATATCATCATGGATCCCGGACTATGGATCTCGAGTCCGGGATCCATGTTCTCTTTCCTTGTATCAACCCGGATATCTATCAGCTGATAGCGTTGTTGTCAATTTAATATCCCATGTGGACTTCATCTTATTTTATGACGTGTTGGAGCATTATGATTTGGCAGATGGTGTTTTTTTGCATTCTCACAAGAGCCGATCCAATTTGGCCGTCTCCCAACGATGAACTCGAGGAGATCATGTACCAAGTCGAAGGCCACAGGGCCAGAGACTTTGGAGGGACCGTTATTCCGTGCTCTAACGAAGCATCCGGACCTGGTCGACAGAATGCTGCTGAATGGTTACGGGCAGCCTTTCATGATATGGCTACGACTACATATCTGAGCGGCATACGAGCTGGCGGCTTAGATGGCTCCTTGCAATACGAGCTAACCGGCTCGGACAATATCGGCCCAGGTTTCAATACAACTCTTAAGTTCATGGCCGACTATTATACGAGCCAGTCTAGCGTTGCAGATCTAATTGCTTTGGGCGTATACTACGCCGTTAGGTCTTGCGGTGGTCCGGTAGTGCCTGTTGCCGGTGGAAGGGTCGATGCTCTTGCGGCTGGTCCCATAGGTGTTCCGCTACCGCAGAATACTGCTTTCACATTCGAGCAACAGTTTACACGAATGGGGTTTAGCAAGACCGAGATGATCCAAGTCACCGCATGTGGCCATTCTATTGGTGGTGTTCATGAAAATGAATTTCCTGAAATCGTCCCGGTTGGGTCTACCTCAAACGGCGAAGCTCCTTTGGACTCGACTGTTGCAGCGTTCGATAACAAGGTTGTCACCGAATATATCGCTGGTAACACTACTAATCCCCTGGTGGTTGGTCCATCGATCAAGGCCACTAGGAACGCAGACTACAAGGTGTTCAACTACGATAGCAACGTCACAGTCAAAGCAATGGCAGGTGCCACTGAGTTTAATAGCATATGTGCAACTGTTCTGCAGAAGTTGATTGATACTGTGCCTGATGGTGTGGTTTTATCTGATCCTATCCAACCATATTCTGTAAAGCCAGTTGATATGCAGTTGTCACTTAACTCTGACCCGTCAACAATGCAGCTGACTGGACTTATACGTGTTCGAACTACTGACATAGGAGAGGATTCTGTCTCTAGCTTAACGCTGAACTACAAGGACCGAAGCGGGGGTACTAATTGCGGTAGCACGAATTGCGCATACACAGCAACTCTCCTGGGTTCCACTCAGGGGTTCGATGATCAATTTGTTGTAAGTCCACGACATAACGCAAAGTTATATTCCTAGCCTAGATCTAATATGTGTCAGTGGTTTCCCATCAATACTGGCATCCCAACATCCACGGGAATTTCATCTTTCACTGTAACCCTTAATATGGCCGACGGAACCACCAAAACATACGATAACAATGGAAACACATACCCAATGCAAGACACCATATTCATTCAAAACCCCCAAAGCTGCCTTCTTTCCGGCACTCTCACCATTACCGCAGCTGTAAGTTAACATCTATGCTCTTAATCGTAGGTAGTTATTGATTTATTCTTATAGGTCCGTAACGACCGCAAATCCCTTCCTGTAAATATGTTCGTCTCATACAAGACCTCGACGGGGGATCCTAATCGTCCAGTTCCCACTCTGAAAGATGCCACGATTACCATGACAGAAGGTACTTGCGTAGGCTCATATACTTTTTATACGGCGGACTTTACTGGCCTTGGCGATCTTGCGTATGCATCAAAAATCGATGTCATTAGCGGGAGTGATTCATCTTCTATTACTGACGCCTTCAATGCCGCAAGCGAACTAGAAGCAACATGCAAGCCCTTCCAAAACCCACCAACTTCTGCGTGTACCACCGAACAGCTGTCAACGTCTCCCGGATCACCAATTACCTCATCTACTTCTATTTCACTATCTACTACTTTCTCTACTACCGTGAGCACCACAAGCACCTCTTCTACAGCACCAGCTGAGACCGCGCATCACAGACAGGAAATTGGTGACTATGTGCTTGTCGGATGCCAGAAAGAATCAACTGTACAGGGAATCCGAGCGCTCGGTGGCGCCGCATTTGCTTACGATAACATGACACTAGAAGATTGTATGAATAACTGTAGTAACTATATTTACTGGGGCACAGAATATAGACGAGAAGTATGTAACATTCATACGTCCTCTCCTTTTAACTAATAACAGGTGATGGACTCCTAGTCAAGCTGATTAGGCAGTTCGCTCCTAAGACATATCTGACCCCTACTTATCGCTTAAAGAAGCAATCACTGACTCTCATTCTGTAGTGTGAGTTTCTAAACCCGAAAGAATGGCTAGTAAGTAATGCGACTGACATTAATATAGGTTACTGTGGCAACTCGCTAGACCCGACGAGCGAAGACGCGCCCTTGACTGATTGTAACATGGTATGCGGTGGAGATGCTACGGAATATTGCGGTGATAGCGATAGGATAGAGCTGTACAGCACCACAGCTAGTCAGCCAGCCCCGACTGCTACACTTGCTCCTAAACCAACTGTATCATCATACGTCCGGGTCGGCTGTTACAATGAGATCCCAGGTGGCCGAGCTCTGACTGGAGCAGCCTACGCAGACGATGCTATGACACTAGAACTATGCGCGACCGACTGTACTGGATTCGAATACTGGGCAACTGAATATGGCCGAGAGTGCTACTGTGGGAACACCATTGATAGTCTCAGCACGGCAGCTCCTGACGCTGATTGTCAAATGGTATGTGCTGGGGATCGTTATGAATATTGCGGAGCTGGGAATAGACTTGAGTTATATCAACTAGAAACAGCTTCTTCGACGCCCGCGACGAGCACGTCGAGTCTGGTGTCTTAGACGGTTAGGTATTTATGAGAAGTTATGGAACGAATTTGATATGGGGATTATATGACACTTCATGTTTATGATTAATACTTGGGTATATATATACGGATTACGAGATTATTACCTAGGTACCTAGACAGATTGATGATTATTTGGTATATAAGTAGCATCATAGTGTATGAGCGGAGAGTTATGGTTTGTAGATAGATTGACATAATAAGGTAATAGAGAATCAAGTTTGGGGTATATTATCTAATACTAGATAGCGTGCTTATCATCGGATAGAGGATGTTGTACCTAGTGTAAGGCTCTCCTAAACGTGGATACCCCTGGCTGGTTTGGTGGTGGGTTGTGGCACGTCATTGGTGTAAGCCGGTTTAATGCAAGGCTGTAGTCTGTGGGTGACCCAAGTACAGTGTGTACCTGTTAACATGCACAGTGGTAGCCAAATTCTCAAATACTGGCAGCCGCAGCTCCTGCAAACATCCAATCTTGACTATTCCATGCGAATGGATTCTTTGGTTGCATGTAGGGAAGGCGTGGATCACGAATCATATGCGCAGATACGTACTAAGCAATCACCCCCCACCCTGCTTTTCTGAAGTCTGCAGTCTACAATATTGGATATCGCACTTTCACTAGGCCAACGCTGTAGTTTTGCCATGATCATTATCTCTCTTAGGTTTCTTCTGCAAAGGACCTTATCGTAAACTTACTATCTCGTATTGCAAGCCATCTCTTAAATCACCGGGTTTCACTAGTTTCCCTAGTTTCCTTAACTACGGCAAATATCTGCAGCTTCTTTTGTCAACGTTTCCGCTAAAAAAGCGATGCCTATTTGCATCCGTCGCATCCCATTAGCATATCTATATGCTACGAAAACGAGGGCCTAGAGTCAAGCATGTCGACTGGTACGTCTCTGATAGCTGCGTCCGTTCACAAACAGCATTTGCCAAAACTTGCTAACTCCCAAATCACAGGGAGACATCCTCCACAAATCCAACCTCACCTGACATTCTTTCCGAGATCGCCGGGGAGGTTCGAAAGTCTCGAACAACGGCCGACCTACGCTGAACTAATCCCTACTTCACCTCGACACGGGCTCTTGCAATATGCCTTGTCTCCCGGTACGTGCTTGAGGCAGACACATACACTTTAGGATGGGATCTAATTCTTGCGACAGAGGAAAGATCGTCTTAACTTACTGGGTGGTGTCAAACCTGTAAATAATCTTAATGGAAGCAAGCAGAACCCCTCGCGCCCTGCGCAATCGTCACCCATACGCCGCCCTTCAGACTCGTCACCTGCGCCACCACCAAAACGCCAGAAATTCCAAGAGTACCATGCACACACCCAGGCTCAATTCGTCCTTGCATTTGACCACGATGGGACTGCTGACCGGCCCAATCCGCGCAAACGTTCCCTTGACAACCGCAGCGAGTCTCAACATACCTTTATATCACAATCGTCCACCAAAGGAGCGCCGTCGACCAGAGCGGGAGTCCCCGAATTTCGATCCACGGAAAGTTACGTGAGACCGTCGCCTAAGAACAGGCCCCGACATAACACTCCAAAGCAGCATGTAGGGCAACCAGATAGAGAGGTTGTCACCGAAACTCCTTTGCTAAAGTACGATATTGAGGACAGCGACGGAGATGTAGAGATCATCGGGGCAGAGGTCATGGCAACCCCTCAAACACACCAAACACACCAAACTCAAGGGGTACGGTACTCTATTGAAGACTTTGGGAAGCGCTTCAAGACAACATCTGGTGCCCAGAAGATGGAGGAAATCATTGATAGTACGATGCTGAAGGAGAACGGGTCCAATGACCCGGTTTCCAGCCCGGATGAGCTAGCACCAGAAACGCAAGATATGAGAGGAAAGATGCCAACGAAGCGACCTGCTTTATCCTCGAGTTTGTCTAAAAAGGGTGATATTCTGCGAACGAAATTCGCCCCGCCGTCTCATACTAGACTACAGGACCCGGGGAGAGGGCTTAGAGAATCGGATCGTGCTACGAAAATCATTGACTTGCCGCTTCGTGTCGTTCGGGCCGTATCGGGCGGTCACAAATACGAAGGGGACAGGACGGACGATGCAAATAAATGTTTCCTAAATTTGCGAGAGATAAGCTACATACTCCACCCGGAGAATTCAGAAGGTCAACTTATGAAAGAATACGCATATCTTACGGTCAATCTTCAAAAGGCTTCGCAGATTCGTGCTCCATCACAACCCGATTGTCTTGTGGCCTCGGTTCAGCGTTCCGTTGACGGTTCAACAAGTGGTGGCCAAAGGCTATGGATCGAATTCTCGTCTCCCAAGGACCTTACAAAGTTCCTTAATTGGGCGAGAGACACTGGGTCACATGGTCTAGTGGATGAGTCTACATCTCGGTAAATTTTGATAACCTGCTGTTTTGAGAGGCTGCTAACGTAATATCTAGGGATCGCCTTGAGAAGGAACTTGAAAACATGATGCGAACCGCTACCAACCGCACTGTTATTAGAGACGACGCGTTGAGGGGAGATGATGTGAAATTAATCGAGCACAACTTGGCAAATGCAAATCAGGCAAGGGCTCCCAACCTACCGCGCGTCCCAGCCCTCCGAGAGAAGTTGAAGGACACGATGAGGCCTCATTCTGCATCTCTGTTAAACTCCAAGACAACAGTCATATCAGATGATCTTCGGCCCTATAATATTCGACGACAGCCGCAAAAAACTCACTCTACGTTTGCATTGGAAGGCCCCAGTTCAGAATCCGAGTCCTCTGAACCTGAATGTTGGACAACCCAGCATATAGGCTGGGAGAGAAACTGGCGCAATTCTCTTGTCTTCCCCTTTCATGGCAAGAGTAGAGCTACCGTCGACAAGGAAGATATTCCTCGGTTAGACGAGGGTCAGTTTCTAAACGATAACCTGATTATTTTTTATCTGCGTTATCTCCAACATACATTGGAGGCGGAAAGGCCAGATCTTGCTCAAAGGATCTATTTCCAGAACACATATTTTTATGAGAAGCTCAAATCTACGAGGACGGCTCAAGGTATCAACTATGATAGTGTCAAAGCGTGGACTTCTAAAGTCGACCTCTTTACGAAAGATTATATTATCGTCCCAATCAATGAATTCACTCATTGGTACGTCGCGATTATCTATAACGCACCAAAACTCTCCTCTTCTCCAGGCAAGACGGAGAGTACCGCTAAGAGCACGATCATTATCGAAGAGGATATCGACGATTCTAGAGAAGCCTCCCGTGAGGTTTCCAGCGCCTCCCCTGACAATGGGAAATCAGCAGATGAGCCTATAAGCCTTGAAGCAGTGAGATCTGAATTACAGAACGATGTCACGAATCACTTTAGCCGTATGTCAATCGAAAGCCCGGATTTTCCAAATGGTATCGCTAAACAGATAATAGCTCCGGAGCCAAAAAATCAGAAGACGGATGCACAGCTAACCAGCTGTAAACAAGAGGTCACGGATATGCGGCACAATGATATCAAAGGGGATGTGGAGCATATCGTGTCATTGAATGACAACCTCCAACGGAAGAAGACAACGAAAGGATACGGCGCGGGCACTAGGAAACATAGTCCGGACCAGCCAAAAATTATCACGCTCGATTCATTAGGATTGGCCCATTCTCCAGCTTGTAGCTGTCTAAAGCAGTATTTAATTGCAGAGCTCAAGGATAAGAAAGGCATTGAAATACCAAATCCTGGGGCCTTGGGTATGACTGCTAAGGAGGTCCCCCAGCAAACAAACCACTGCGACTGCGGACTATATCTGCTAGGATACATAAGAGAGTTCCTCAAAGATCCCGACGGGTTTGTTCGTAACATCCTCCTACATAAGCCCATTGCCTGGAATCTAAACCCATCGGAGCTCCGAAACAATATTAGAGACTTGATTTTTGATCTTCAGAAGGAGCAACAACGTCGAGAAGATCTTCATAGAGAAGAGAAACGCAACAAAGCTGGGTCGCTGAAGAGGAAGACTAAGGGACCAATAGATGAGCGGCCCCTCAAACAACTAGCGAAGGAGCAGGATATTAACCGAGGTGCGTCTGAGCCCCAAAAGGATGAGGATATCCCAAAGGAGAACAGTGCGGCCAGGCCTAAACCAAAATCACCTACTCCCGAAGTCTCTCTAGAAACCAGACCTATCTCTAATTCGGAGAACCGACCTATTCCTGGTTCATTTCCTCGGTCCCCGGCTGTGGCCAGCGCTAATATAAGCGCACTTAACGTGAGCAACCTTGAACAAGCTAAGGTTCCGAAGTTCGTCTCGCCACTCCCTGAATCCCCCTGTGGCTCTTCACCAGAAAGTCCCGTAGTTGTTGAGGATCCAGAAGTCCTCCAGGGACAAGGGGGGAGCGCTAATCATATCCATGGCGATCTCAAGCGAGCCAACTTACCAGAAGAGCCAGTTAGAGAAATCCAAAGGACCTACCAAAATCAGGACAGACCAGCCGATCAATCCCGAGATCAAGAGATAGTAACGGTAAGCCGCTACTTTGCCGGTCGGCAACCCGGCGATAAGATGGTCTCGGCCAAATTACGCGAAGAGCCGCTTCACTCGGATGTTATCGATATTTCGGACTAAATTCTGCAGGCCAACATAGGGGGATGTTGGAGGTCGGGAGAACACAGAAATAGGAGTGTTTATTTCACTGAGGAGCATCGGGAAGCATCATCATGACTTCATACGTGTCTGCATAGGAACGGCGTTGGGGCGGTTGTGTTTGAAAAGTTTACCCCTGTATACCCCTTGTGGAGAGCGATTCTGGCTTTGCTCCGCGAGTCCGGGGCGTTACGTAGGATGGTCAATGACTCAGGTAGTGATTGTCTTGAGAATAGAGCTACGTGGTTACAGCGAAGGATACTTGACCGTAAACAAACAATATTATACACTAATATTCATCACGATGCCTCTGTAAATACTCCTAGTGGGTGTAATTTATCATTTTTACATCCTTAGTCCTGTAGTCATCGCCTTCATAGACACTCAGGTCTAAAGCATCTCTTACATACACACGTTATAACCAGATAATTTCACGATTTCTCAGGACAGAATAATTCACCAGACCAACGTCAAGATCATAACGCGTAGATTTTCGTTTTCTAGAAACCGCTATATTTCACCTCCCCCCCTTCTACGTCTTTTTTTCTTGGTTTCTTTTCTAGACGACCTACCGGGCCTTCTCGCCCTCCTTCTTCTTCAGCGCCGGCAAGGCGAACGCCTTGCTAAGCCCGTCGCCCATCTTCTTCCACAACCCGAAGTCGGAGTCCTGGTCCCAGGTCAGCACGCCGACCCAGGGCTGCACGTTGTAGTGCACGCGCAGGGTGACGTCGTCGGTCGAGGCGATTTTTCCGGTGGGGTGGGTGATTTGGTATTTGGGCTTTTGGTTCTTGAGGGAGAGTTTGCCTCTGTTTTGAGGGGGGAGGTGTTAGTGTTTGCGCGTGATGGGCTGGTAGGGGGGGGGGGGGGGGGGTAGTGATGAGGAGGGGAGGGGAGGGGTCGTACCGGCTTGGGTCTATGGTCTTGCCGGCGGCGCTCTTGCGCAGCTTCTTAAGGGACGCGGGACCTAGGTTGCTTAGGTGGTCGGCGCTCGGGCTCGTGATGATGGAGTCCCAGATGATGGCTTTGTTGGTCTGGTTCGTGCTGTCGGCGGCGGGCCATTCGGCTGTTACGTATACGAAGAGCTGCTTGGTGTTCCAGGTGAACAGCGACGAGAGGTCCGCGTCTAGCGAGAACTTGATTATGGCGTATTCTTCCTTCTTAGTGCTGTAGTAATGCGGTCGACCCTTGACTCTGTTTCCTTCGTTGTCAGCTCAGCTACCCTGGGTGATCTAGGATACGTAGTTGGAGGATAAACGGAAGGCTCTCTCTTACACCTGGACGTTGGTCGGCTTTACCGTCGCGCTCGGTGCTCGAGGAGCGGTGAGGTCGGAGGCGGCGATTAGGGCGGCGATGACGAATGCGACGGTGGTGAAGAAGCCGAATACATTTTGTATTCTGGTTAGGGAGTTGTACATGGTAACGGATCGGATCCCCAAGATTGGGGGGAGGAAAGGAGGATTGGGGACAGCTAGTGGGAATATAGGCCGGTTGGTCGCATAGAAATTGGCTCGTAGTTGTAGTCGCCGGTCTTTGTCGTCGCTCACATGTAAGACAGATCAAAGATAAGATGTGAGGCCACGTATTGGAGGTCTATCAAGGTCCATTATCGATAATTGCTTATCGATTTCTTATCAGTAATGTGAACTTGTGTCATTTCTTGGCATCCTTATTTCATTGTGGGTCAAGTTCTCCCCCCTATTCCGACTACTCCTATACAGTCTCGTGCCTTATAGGTTTTAAAGTCCTCATCAACTATAACAAAATATTTATATATTCAATTGTATCCAATTCAACCGTCCAGCAGCATGGTTCAGAATTATAGACATCATTTTGGTGGGCAATTGTTGTTGACAGGATTCCAGGCGAGATGTCTGGGACAAAAGATACCCTAATTGTGTATAATCACTAGTTCCTATAGCTTGGGATTATGGTCCCTTGCGCAACAACGAAGTTGATATTTTATTGCGAAGATTTTTTGGGTTTAGACTTGGGTTCATCGCGACGATATGCACTAGCTAGATCTGGTCCCTAGCATTTATCTCTTGTTAGTGTTTTTTCGAGGAAAGTTGGTCGATTCCCATTGCTTACCCATTCCGAAGCATGGGCGTCCAACGGGGCAAGCTGAAGTGTGCCATCTGGGAGTACTAGACTTTGGACGCCTAAACTCAGGAGGATAATCACCAGCACGTCCTTAAGCTCCATGCTGACAATGATGTTGCTCAAGGCTTTATCTAAGTAAGATGATATCGTCTCGAGGGAGTTTCGATTAGATTCCAATAATCATTGAGTCTACTGCAGGTGATGTGTTTAGAAGTTTTTTATAAGTGTAGAGATGCTGAGTTATCCCAATTCCAAGTGTTCGAGACAATAAGGACTATTATAGAGCACATAGACAGGCATTAATACCCCCAAGACATATCAATAACAGCTACTCATCATATACATACTTACGTATTCAGCCGTCCCTTGTCGATGATCAGCACGAGAATATCTCTTCTCTCGAAGACCACGGGGCCGCGCAGCACTGAGGGGGCACAATATCAATTACACAGCGATGATCACTCACGGATAAATTTACAACAGGGTACAGCAACTCTGCATGGTTGACTGGCACGGCGCTTCATTATGTACGTGGAATACCATGGCCGGCATCCTTTTGCCGACTTTTTGTCAAGCAAAGCGGATCAATTGTGTTTCTGGATAGTAGCAGCTTGGAGAGCCAGCCATGAAATAACTCAAAGTAGTGTAACATCTATAACTGGCAGAGGAAATATTCGGGGAAATAACCGCGCCGAGGCAATGATCATCAAGGGTTAAATGGCGGCTTACCGGCTATACTAAGGCCATGAGACGACCATTATTCGATTCAAGGCGTGCTATAGACGATACAGGGCTATGCTAAGCTCAAATAGGAATATCGTTTACATGTACTACTAAGGGTAAGGTCTTGGAGAGCATATTTGACCAAGATAGGGTCCAAGGATAGGTGGTCAAATTCCAAATCAGCCTCTAACTTAGGCCTGTGCAGAGTTGATGAGAATTATGTATAAAATGTCGATTCATTGCTCTAGGAATATCTTAATAAGAGTGAGGGGGGAGGGTATGTGTGTTCTCATTATCATTAGATTGGCTGTTGTTATTGCTTCCTTCGTAAAGGCATAGATGAGTTAAGTACGCAATCTATAAGAATAAACTCTAGGAACAGCCGTTTCTAAGTAGCTAACTACCCATTTCCTTTTACAAATCCCAAATTCCTTTTCACCTATCATGTTCTACTACTTTCACTATGCTTCATTACGGCTCTTCCATATCCACGAACCTATAGGCCCAAAAGGAGCACCACTAGTGAGGGCCTGATGTCAGCAGGTAAGGGGCGTTGAGTTACGCATTTTCAAAAAGTTGTCTTTCCAGAATCAAGAAAGGAGTAAAGAGTAAATGAAAGAGAGAAATTACATACGATGAAGCAGATGCTACCCAATACAAGAGTAGCTAGGAAAGATATGGCTGTCTATGCGACTGTTAGAAAATGGAAATGGATATTGGGCCCAATATTGATCCCTATTTTCGGGAGAAGTCTTGATTGTTATAATGCACTTACTTTGCTCTGATAAGAGCATTCGCCATATAGTGGTGCGCAGACATATACTGTTAAGCCCACGAGGAACGCAACGACCGAATATGCCAAAAGCATCATGGGTGCTTGCCACGTGAATACCATATTCCAACGGACGCGGATCTCAACGTCGTCGTTGATAGTGTCGATGGTGGAGAAATCTGATGCTTCGGCTTCTAGCCCTTGCTGCCTTTCTCCATTTTCCAGATCATTATCTATCACATCCTCCGATTCACTAATGAAGAAGCCACTTCGGGCCCGAGAAGAGGTATTTGTCGATCGTAGCGAATCCTTGTTTTTGATAATGCGGCAGATTATCAAAAGATCATGCTCGAAGACGGGTGGCTGTAACTTGCTACCGGCTTGTGATTCCTTCTGGATAATAGTGGTGAAGATAAAGGATTCTGATGTTGAGAGCAAAACTGAGAAAAGAGACAGGACCAGCGAGCAATACCATGCCGCTGGTCCTATCCAGTGCTCGCATTCAGGAGTATCCCAAGATAAACAACCGATCGCAGCTGCAGAGAGCAGGGTAGCCTTATATCATTTGATATCGTATTAGAATAGGGATGCAAATAGCGACAGGAATAACACTATGACTTCTTTTAACTCCAACCTGCCCTAGGGATGTAATAATGTTAAGAAGACCACGGTGAGTAAAGAGTAGGACATACAGCCACTTGGACAAAATAGAGCTCCTGCATCTTACGGTCGCGCCATCTAGATAGCATGGCTGCGATCTCGGACTCGTCCTTCCGGAGATTTGCACTATTAACTATAGCGAGAATTGGCAGAAGCGTGTTTTGGCGGAAGGTCCGGTAATAAGGAAGGGTAAAGAGGCCCATAGCAGCGTAGCCCGATGACGAACCTGCTTTACGCAGCGCAGACCGTAGCCATACCGCAACTATATAGTACCTTCTGCCTAACATGGTATAAATATCTTAGGGTATAGATAAGACTGCGCCTTTAAAAGTCGTAGTTTACGGTTGATCTCTGTGTCCGGATAATAGCTTTTTATAGGCGAGAGTCAGTAGGGATGACGAAGTTCAGCTGGCAATCATAATGGGTTTTATAAAAGGTGGCAATGTATTAATAACTAAAGAAAAATGAATCTATATAGCCTCCCATCCAGAGACGTTGACATAGTTAAAGAACTGGTAGTACTAACTAATATACACTACGCATTAAACCTTTTTGAAAAGCATGCCACCATCAATGCTGATCACTGTGCCAAATTTCCTATCTGTTAACGCCCCTTATATTCCCATTGGTGTTCGCCACGCCCCAATGCAGCCCCCCCGACGTTATCTGTCATCCCAAGCTCTTGGTTCGGGATGGTTTTGAACCTGACTTCATCGTTACAGTAAAAATACCTCGCCGAAGCGAACCGTTCCCGTCTGGCGATATTCGCATCGGCCCAGGCCTCTTGCACATCTCCGCACACATTCTCCTATCCCTAGAGGTGTAACACTAGCATTAAAGCCGGCTTCTAACCATTCACCTAGCAACAACCTTGAGAACTTATGGGTAACAACTGAATGAATGAGAGAATATTTCTCTTCCACCATGGACTCTAGGATATAGTGGTTGATTTGTCATGTGTAATGTCATACCGACTACGTTTTCAGTGAGGACTTAATGTAGATCGAGTTAGGAAAAGGTCTACAAATGACATGATATCATTGCTATTCGTAGCGGGGGCTTTACTATCATTGTAGTCTTTCTGACTAGATCTCTAGAAACCAAAAAGTTGCAGGGGGTAGACAAGGGAAAACATTGATGAAGGAGTATATCTAATAAAAGGAGACAGGTAAGGAAACAGTTAGACCCATACAATAAATCAAAAATTAAATAGAGACCACGAATCCCGAGGCTCTAAGGCTTCACTCGGCCTACTGACGATCTCCTCAGTCCATTGATTCGGCCTCTAACACGGCACAGATCCATATTTCCGTTTTGAGCCTTACTTGCAGGAAACCGAAAGTTAACCCTCACCGAACTAACTCGCAGAAACCTACCTAATTTAACGAGTATAAAGGGTAGTTAACTCGTCTATGAGGGTTTTCTAAGATATTTCTTTTCCACGAACCGTTAAATAATGCTAATAGCTATGGTGATGAACACTCCTCTCAAAAAGACGCGGGAGATATCACGATTATTCCACTAATAATATAATCTAGCTTCTATGCTATATTCCTAGTCTCTTGTAAAAAGGACTATCGAATATAGACGTAAGGGACGTCCCCTCTTCACGATACACATACCTTATAATTAAAATTGATTAGAAGGAAACAACGCTGGTATGCATCATGCGTGTAACACTCCACGGGCAGATCGCAGTCTATTACCATGATTAAACACCACCCAATGCTATATATTTGCCCCTCCGGACTTACATCCATTCTTTCGTGACTAATGACAGGCAGACATTTTATGCCTATTTAGATAAGCCATATGATACTTATCTAGGTTAATACTATCCTCTCGTAGTTGTAATATAACGTGATAGGCCACCTCATTATAGATTACTATACAACTCGGCCAGGACCTAGCCTCCTATGTAATCAATAATTATTACTATCACATAATTACGAGGTAGAATAACTCTAAACCTGCCTAATCTATAGAAGCTCGACTGAAAGTACCCTTTGTTCTAGTCTCATCTAGAATTATAACACGCATCTCCTGTTACAAGCACTGGATTTAGTCGTACCAATACATCGTATCTGCTAGCGGCCAGTTTCCGTGATATCATTACTTGCTAGTGAGGCTTAGGAGAACATGGGATAATAGGCCTGACAACCTCCCGTGCAAACCGTAACACAGGTAAGTCTAATCACTCGCCCTATTTCGCTAACAAATCCCCTTGCAGATAAGTAATACACCAGACACGTTGCGAATGATCATGATTTTATACACAAAATGGGTAACTATATACATCACCCAATATGATTACAAATGTCTCTTCTGAGACGTCTCGGAATGTCATCAACTATGCCGTGGTCCACCACAATCATTGCGTATAAACGTAACCATGCAGCCCTCATAGCCTCTCTAGCGGTCGTTTCATTCCTAATTGTACATGATTTCGCGGGTCCCTGATTATCGTCATCCGAACGGGACAGAGCTCAACCTCGCGTGAGCCTAATACTGGGAGTTGTCGAATAATAACCTGGAACCGGTGCGAAAAGAGTCTATAATAATCATTTTTTTCACGCAGAACCCAACCTACCCGGCGACGGCTGTGCCTTATATAGAAGCACAAAAATGCTCGGTAAGGCAGTGTAAGAAAAACGGTGGGAGCTGCACGAGATCTCCAGCACGCCGGTCCTCTAACTATGGTTTGAGTCCTGGTGCTGGATTACTGAGATCGTGTATTAAGGGCGTGAAGGCGGGAGAGGGGAGCTTCTATGGAGGGAAAGTCGTCCAAATATGGCAGAGATGGAGACTTAAAAGGGGATATTAGGAGACGCCTGAGCACCAAGAGCTTCTTGTTGCTCCTGCAGTTCCTCACCACCAGCTTCGATGCTAATTCCAAGACCGACCTTGGCGGATTGCTAATAATTAAGTAATTAGAGGAAATTCCACGTCTAGAAATCTCAGAACAAACTTACAGTGAAGTGGTCGACATCAGCGCAGAAGGACATCATGACAGGTGGTGCCACGCGCTTCTCTAGTATGCAGCCCAGTTTTCCCTTGGAATCGACTTGCGCTCGGAATGTTGACATACGGAAATCATATTTGATACCAACAGATGTAAGTCCCTCCTTTTGCAAGCTACCTCCCATCAGACCCCCAGGGCCGGGAGCCACCTGGAGAGTCATGTCGACACCGGCTTGGACCTTATCTGTCAATCTCCGCCAGTACGTTGTGTTAAGGGCGCCTTGCGCATGGATCTGGGCGGTTGCGATCCAATCGTCGGACTTATACTTTGCGCAATACGATAGGGCAGACTCGGGCGGCTGATTCAGCGCAGCGCGTTGCCAAACAGCCTCGATACCGAGGGCAAGTTTGCGGGTAACGGACTGGAGATGGCTCAGGATGTAAATACCAGTCAAACCACCCTCGAGGTAGGAGGGGTTGAGCATCTTGAGGGAAGAGGTGAAGTCACTGCCCGCATATTCGTGTTCAATTGAGGCCATATCCTGGGCGCCTATGGAAAATTGCGTCTTGGTGACAAGCGAGGGGTTCCAACGGTAGTTAAATCTTGTTGATAGCATACCATTGTTATCCATGCTTCCTTGGAGGAATACCTATAGCAAAGTAGATTACATGTTAACTTGACATTTGTTTGCAGGTAATGGAGGGGTCGACTAACCTTGTTGGTACCAAAGAGACCTGCAAAGGCATAAGGATTCTGATGCTCACCCATCGCAAACTGATGCGATACCTGGAACAATGGCGATAGACTGACTGCCTTAGTCAGGTCTGCCCTTATACCGGTGTGCATGTAATTGGCGAGAGAAACTTCACGCTGAACCTCCTTTGCGATAGTCTCGACGGTGCCGGGATTGGACAAGCCGAGCCTGGCCCGTCGCTCGGAGAAGGACTTGTATACATCGGAAACTGCATTGGCTATGGGATTCGCTGTTAGGAAGCCTAAGGGCGACGGCCCAGACGGTTGCGACTCGAAGTTGAAGGCCATGGTGGAAGCAGAACTGTCAGGGCAGACTGACGTCTTTGATAAGAAATGACGACAGAAGATACGGCAAAGCACAATTTAGAAAAAAAAGACTTGCAGGTTTGCTTTTATGATAAATACGAGGACCCGATGAGTAAGTACTGCTAAAGAATAGTTACCCAGCTTCCCTCGTCTGCGAGCTACCGACAATTGGGTTGAGTTGTCGTTTTTTATTAGCTTGCAGTGGTGTCAAGGAAAAAAAAAGATTCTTGGTGCAGGCGGCTGTAAGATCAAAGATCCTGGTTGGTGAAGTCTCCAATTTCGTCAACGGAATAATCCTTGTGCCGCTCTAAAAACTTTAACTTTCACAGCTTACCTAAACCTAACATTGAAGGTCCGTCACATGCAGATAAATGGGTACGTACCTTTTGTGACGTACCTTAATTTTTAAAAGTTGCGTCACCCGTTTCTCCCCGTCCTTACGTAAACTTGGTCTCAGCCGCCTTATTCAGATCCATACCTAGATGCGTCTGAAAGAAAGTTCCAAATCCACATGTGCATGAACCACCCGCTTTCTTCTATTTGTAAAGGATCAACCTATCTATTCGATATCTTAAGGCTTGTTTCGCGCTTGGTGCACCACCTTCTGCGCTCTATTCAAGCTTCACCGGGCCAATTTCTACTGCGAATATATATCTCGTTCTCCGGCTTCTCTTGGGACCTCAAACTTGATACTTCCACCGGAGATCCATATTTCTATCCTTTTTGCAAAACAAAACAAAACAAAAAAAGTGACAATTTACCCCTGAGTCTGCTTGTGGATACGTCCTATGGCGAACAGGTCTTAAACTGCTAGCCCTCAGCTTATCCCCTGAGTTGGTAATTAATTCCTCATCTAACCGAGGTCTTACGCTCTGACTATAATCCGGAGAAGATCAACTTTAAGGTCGCTTTCAGACTTCAATTTTCATAATTAGCAGGCTACTTTCCGAGCCATTCCTTTCGAAGGTAAAGAGAGTTTAGATCCGAGAGCCAGTGCAATCACTGCCGTGGCACCTAATAGCTTAGACAAACAAAAACGACTGTCGAACCAAGCTGTTTTCATTATGGATACATTACTGTAAGTACAATATACTCGCTTAATGATTGTCTTGATATTTGGGCGCATCTACGATATAGAGGGATCCTTGAGCTACAAGTTCAGGGTAACGGGACGGATAGTTAGTTGTTTCGCTACTTTCATGGGGATGGGTTATATGCTCTGCATTTACCCCGGTTCCTTGGATATTGGGAGCATCGGGTTGGTAAAGACATCTTTAGCAGGACAGGATCTGGTTCCTGTTAATCTTGCAATTACATACCCTAATCCCCATCGCCATATTTGCTCTGTTTTCTTGTCCCTTTCTAAGGAATATAAGGCGCGAGGTTCACTATGGCATAATTATAATGCCAAGAACGGTCTGATGCTAACTGTAATAGCACTGCGGATATCGCCGCGAATGCTCCGAGGTACCGGCGTAGGAGCAGCACCTTCATCGACGGCATTCACGATGTCCCGGAAGATAGTGATAGGGCTCCGGCCCAGCTGTACAGCACTATGTCAGGGAGGCTTTTCCATTCTGGCCGTATCGCCATTGTCATGGTGGGACTTCCTGCTCGAGGCAAGACGTAGGTCTCAACTCTGTCCGCGTATGTGACGCGAGCGCTAACGCTTTTATAGTCATATTGCTGTCTCGTTAGCACGATATCTACAATGGTATGCCAACTACCCTGGCACTACGAGCTTGATCTCATATGTTCTAGGTTAGGTGTTAAGACACGGATTTTTCACCTCGGCGACTACCGTCGAGCTACCGTCGGTCAAGGTGGCCATGTGCCCGAAGACTATTTCTATCCGAACGCCTCGCCGGCTTCAATCGTCTTACGCCAGAAAATTCTCAAGAAGTGTCGTGAAGACATTTACGGCTGGCTCAACCACGAAAATGGCCAAGTAGCAATATATGACGCAGTGAATCCTACTGCCAGTGGTCGTCGCTCACTAGCCAAGGAATTTGCGAAGCATGACGTTCAGGTGAGACGTCATTTTAAAGAGTATCCTTGAGTGAAGGATTGGTGTTAACAATATCGCAGACCCTGTTCTTGGAATCTTATGTTGACGATGACAACCTCCTTCGAGAGAACGCACGTAACGTCAAAATTGGATCCCCCGATGTACGGCACCTAAGTGTCCCTCTTATTTCAAGCACGACTAATGTCAGCAGTTTGCCAATATGGATCCTGACGAGGCTGCTAAGCTATACCTCACGCGCATGGAGACTAAGATACCGGCATTTGAGACTATGGACGAAAAAGAGCTTAACTACATCAAAATGATCAATGCAGGCCAGAAATTCTTCTACAACAACGTATCCTTTAATTACCTCTCGCACCGCATTGTCTTCTACCTAACCAACACTCACATCAAGTCCCGAGCAACATTCTTCGTTCGGCCTGGTACTGCCACGGAAGAAGAAAGCTATAAAGCAGATCCCCCATTATCCGAAGAGGGTGAGAAATATGCTAGAGTGATGACAGAGACAGTGATCAAGCACCGTGAGCAAGAACGAGCTACACGGATTGCAGAAGGAGGGTCTGATATGCCGCTGCGCCCGCTGGCAGTATGGTGTTCAACACGTATGCGCACAATGCAAACAGCGGATGTCTTTCAGGAGCTCGGATACAAAGTTCGCCAACGAAGTCAGATGGCCCAAATTAACCCAGGAGTTTGTGAAAGGCTAAGCGAACGCGCTATTCGCCGTCTCTACCCCGAGGAAGTAGAGAAGCATGAACTCGATCCTTATCACCACCGTTATCCGCGCGCTGAGTCCTACCACGACCTCGCTGTACGACTCGAACCAATTATTCTAGAGCTTGAGCGTGAGCAGAACGACTTACTGATCATCGCTCACGAGAGCGTACTACGAGTCCTCTATGCGTATCTTTTGCACTGCAGCACTATGGACATTCCTAATCTCAAATTCCCACGGAACGAAATTATCGAGGTCATCCCAGGCGCGTACCAGAATGATGCTAAACGTATTCATATCCCAGGTCTCGACCCTAAGACTGTCCCTGGCTCTCCTGAGGATATACGGATTCCTGTACCAGACAGTGATGTTAATACTCCAGCACCGCTTCCAGGTGGAGGCCTCTCTGCGCCTGCGGTACCGCCTCTTACTGTCGAAAAGCCACCCGAGAAAGTAGTTAATACGGCGGCCGAAGCGGTGATGGACAAGATTACAGATGAAGATTAAGTTGTGTTAAAAGTTAGCATAGGTGCTCATAGAAATACTAAGCACGTCATACCAATGTATTAGGCTGCTTCTGCATAACCCTGAATAGAGCCAAGGTGGGAGACGTATTCATGAAGGGGATAACTATACGATTCCTTGAGCACGGGATGTGGCTCTAGCACCGCCGTAGTTAGGGTAGCATGGGAAAAGCCTATTGGTAATCCCCAGAAGGAAAAAAGGCCACCGGCTTGCGTCGGTATCAAAGACTTACACAATACTATTATGAACATTGACTATCTAACATTGTAGTAAATGCCAATCAAGTAACCATGGAAAACACTACGATAAAAAGGGTCTCTACACCTTAGTGTGAATTCTTCAAAGCTAAGAGATGAGAGGTACTAGCTATAAGTATTGTGACTATTCCATCTATGTCACATGATAATTATACGTAAGTCAGAGAGTAAATGATATTAAAACTGGTGTTAATTAAAAGGTAAAACTTGACTCTATGACTTAAATCAACGGTCATGTATTTATTCGGAATAAATTAAGCCAGTAAGTAGGAAACATCACCTTTTAGTTTTACAGAAAACTACCTAATACTTCCTTTCCTTTATAAGGACCTAGTCAATAGGTTTCCCCCCAGTAACGCTCTTTTCCAAGCCCTCCGACAAACCATCCCCGAGGGTTTATCCATCCAGCGCAGTCCGCTCCGCCCCGACAGTGGCCCCTCCACGTCTAGCGGACCGGGTCTCCTACTATGGGGCCGCGCCCCCGGGTTTTCCGCCGGCGGCCCCGGAAGGCAGGTGCTAATAGGCTCTTCCGCAACCCTTCGGTATCCTGAAAAGCCTTCCGCCCCTAGACCCCGCGTTGCTGGTATAGATCGGCCGGACTCGTATACTCGACGTGAAAAACCGGTATATATTTTAGTTTAACCTCTCTTCTTAATCCTTTAAGACTATTAGCTTTCCTACCTTAGTCTCTTTATAAACTTATCAACCTCATCTATTAGCTCTGGCTACTACCTGCCTATTGTGTCCCTTTAATTAGAGCGCACATTTTACGCTTCTTATATTAGCGCAGGCATGAGCTTTAGAGGTTATGTCAATAAACCAGAGAGCGAGATGTTATAGGAGGTTTATAGAATTTGGAGGTATAATTAATTAAGATGGTGCGGAAACGCGTACCGCGAACTTCAGACTCCATTAGGTATGAGACCATTTTTGCGATCGAGACGCAGTAGAAGAAGTATTTTAGTACACACGCTATCTAAAAAGACGCCACTTGAATGCTTTCCAAGTAATTACCCATTTTCCACGTCCCATATTAATGCGATATATTTTAACCGAAAGTTCGCTCATTACCTGAGTACGCCTACAGATCAGCCTGTCTCGTTTTTCAATCCTTGCGGCAAATCTCGTGTATCACCAACGCCTGCCGGGTATCTTGAATCTGAAATCAATAGTCCAATCCATCCACGTGAAGTCATAGCACTACTGGACTAGAACACCCAAAGTTAGCAGATGCACCTGCAAAGAATTGTAAAAAGAAAGGAGCAAAGGAGGCCAAATAAATCGCACTTGGATCGTTAGACCACGACTCCAACTGTGATCTTGAGTAGACCGTACCATGTAGCTAGCAAAAGAGAACAGTATTGATATACTTACCGATGCATTCCCTATCTGGCATGTTTATTCTCTTACTATCCTTCCCCTTGCCTTTGTCGTGGTGCAACTTTGACTTCCCCTTTTTCGGTGTAGGGGTGATATCTGCATCGTTCTCTTTTATGCGTTCCTTTTCGATGTTTTCGACGAATTCGTAGTCATCTTCAGCTTCCATTGATGTCGAGTCCCGTAGTGGCTCCTTGCTCGATTTCATAAAGACCCCGAATCTAGTAACCGACAAGCTCTTGCGGCCTTCACCAGCTTGACTGTGGGGTCTACTTTTATTGCCGCCTCTGAATCTCGCAGCGGCCCGGCTGAGCCTTTGAGCCGTAGTCTCCTCCCCAGGTGTGACAGCTGGTGAGGGTCCCTCTGATACTGCCACGGAGCTCGGGATACCGGAATCATTGTATACGCTGCCTCGTCGGGATACGCTAAGAAATCCATCCTCATCCGCAAAGCTGCGACGTGGCGGCGGCTCTAAGTCCGCCGAAAAGCGTATTCCACCGTTGGTCGCCGGCTGGGGGGCTAAGTTATCAAAGTAGCTGCTTGGTCGACGGGAGACCGAGAGTCTCTCCTGACTTTGTGTCGCTGAAGTTTCTGAACTAGTTAAATTAAGGGCCGCGTCATCGTATGACGGCGGCTCCGTGTCTGTGCTTTCGGTCGAGCTGGCTGCCACCTCCACTATCGGGACAATCTGATAGAAGAGTAAGTAGGGCATCTCTTCCTTGAGCGATTCCTTTATGTCATCAACAAGGGTTACCCGATTTTCAATCGCAAGGTCATCAAATTTGACCCACTGTGCCTCTTCATAATCTGGAGGCGGATCACTATCATGTCTGCGGTTATCAGTGAGGAGCTTGGGGGCCACGCGGCAAAAAGAGACGTAGTGGCCGGAATGTAGAGAATCCCCCCGGTGGCAGACTATAGATTGAAGCACAAGCTTGTACTCAGCAGCAAGTCCACTTTCTTCTACATGTCTTTCGTCGACAATGAAATGTGGCAACCTCAAGCTATCGGGAATATCGATATACGTGTTCTGTCGCTTCATGTTACCGTTCATATCCATCATATACCGTTTCAGGCAGATCCCGACAACGGGCCGTCGACTAAAATGTCGTGCAACTTCCAGGTCGCTCTCTGGTTCCTTATTTATAGGGGAATGCCACGCTATGGTCTATATTAGTCTCGTAACCCTTACAAGAGAGTAGAACATCGTACGTATAAGTCTGAAGAATTGCCAAGCAGGTATTGTCACAGCTCTAACAATCGATGCTGTATGCTTGGCTCTCTGAGACGAACTAGCGGTATCGGATTCAGACGGGTTACCCTGCTCATCGACCACAACTCGTTGTATTATACTTTCAGCTCGATTTCTATGTGGCCGTAAAATTGTCTGAGGCCCTGAAGCTTCCGCTTCGGAATCTGTTTGAAGATCCGAGAAATGAGGCTCTTGGGCTATTGTCCACCTTCGCTCTAAATGTGGACTATGCTCGGATTCAGGTGCGGCACCTTCTTGCTGATCTTCCTCGGTAACGACCCGAATCGTACTTTTAGGTTTATTGGAAGTATCGAGGGGTTGTAAGTTTGGCATCGTTTCAAATCGTTCTGCCTTTTTCTCCTCTAGACTGTCCCTTAGGACATCGACCTGAGAGTTGAAGTATTCCTCTAAACAATCTTCTAATCTAATTCCCTTTCCATTATTATCCGGCGGTACGGCAAGGTTCAAGAGTCTTTCGTATACGACTTTGTGATCAGCGTCGTCATTTTTTCCTTGATGAAACAAGTCGACTTGTAAAGTAAGGAGAGGAAGTTGAAGAGTCTCCGTGATGAACGCGAATGCTTCGGATGTATCCTGCTGTTCTAGTAACTGTGCATCTCTCCAGCCACATGCAGCCAAGGCGTCCTGAATGTGCTGGGTCTGCCTATTATTAGTTTTGTTGTAAATAGCTTTGCGTTAGAGGAAAAAGAGATACTTACCATATCGGTTTCGATCAACTTCCCGCTTCTTAGCATGTTCACCCAAAGTCGCAGCAGCGCAGCTAACTTCCTCTGCGGTTCATCCATGGAGTCGCCCTTGAGCATGCACTCGAACGATTCAAGTTTAGCAAACATGGCAAAGAGTAGTGCGTCGAGATAGCAGGTCACATTCCCTCGATTTTCAGCTCCGAGCATGTGGACTGCTGGGTTGTAACTGAGAATCTTGCCGGAGAGGGAGACATGCTGTAATAGCAGCAGCTCCATAGCCTTGTCGACATTGCCGGAGGAATATTTAGAATTAAGGACATATCGAATCTGATCGTCGCTTAGGATGGGAAAGTCTAGGTCGGCAACTCGCCGTCGTATGTCGTCGATCTGTTCGAATTAACGATTAGGGTTACTTGAAGCGCAGGTGAATGTCGAAGTTTGCGTTGACGCACCTTGGCTCCCTCCTTTTCTTGCTCTGTGCCGGCGCTGGTAGACTGTCGAGATTCTGGTTTGAATATGGAAAAAAAGGCTTCGGCTGATAGAGGACGGTGTTGCTGAAAAGATATAGTTAGAATGTAAGTTACTTATTAAGATGGAGACGTGACATATCCAATGTCACCTTACTTTATGGGCGGGATCGGACGATCTATTACGACGGTGACCATTCTTCTCGCGGCGACTCAGGAACTTCCTAGGAATGCTAGTCTTCATGGTGGGGTCTTGCAACATTTGAAGGTTGGCCGAGGGGGCCAGGCTCAAGGGGGATAAAAGTGGTAGGTGTCAATGATTTATGATTTACAACAACGGTACCAGCCTTCGTTCATGTTCGTATTTGGCAATGCGCTGTGCAACGGTGACGGGCGACTCCTCTTTCGTCTTTCTCTTTTAAAATAAAATTCGACGCTTTGAACTATCACTGCCGATAGACGGTGTGCCAAGCCTGGGTCGAGCGTCGAGCGTTGATGCGACTGGGACTTGGTGTTAAGGCTGGAGGTGATGATGGTACGACAAGGGAACTCGCATGGCTCAAAATGATAGTAAAAGTCGAATTGTGTATTCAAAGAGAGAGAGAGGGAGAAGGACAAGAAAGACAAGAAGAATTGTTTGCAATGTAACGGAAGCTTGCAGCAGCCAAGGAAGTTCAGAGGCTGAAGAACTAAGTTGTTGCAGCGGTGGCAGTACGGGGCTCTGCGCTGCGTGTAAAGTTCCTAACGAAGACTGAGCGTTTCGCGTCGTCAAGGGTCCAAAAAAAATAGTGAGCTGTGGTCGATCCAATATGGGGAAAACTAAGGTCGCTTGTATCTTGTCTTGATGATTGATTACATTATATAATCGTATTCGCGTGATGCAAACTAAGAAGTGACTTTTTTTTTTTCAACCACGAGTTCTAATTAATCAGTTGTTGAGAGACGTTTCTCGAATTTAGGCAAGGTAAGGCGCTAAGAGTAAAGAGACGTGGGTTGTATGTATAATAAGTCTGTTCTGTAAGTTGATGGAAGGAGAGAATGGAACGAACGGGACCAGACATGAAGCAAGTTTCTTTTTCAAGGTAAAAAAAGGCAAGAGGCAGATAAGACTAAATTTATTTCATTCTATCTACGCTGGTATGGTACCTACTTGAGTTCATTGAAATGTATAAAGATGTAGCAGGCGCAACTTTAATCAGGTACACTAGGCCCTCACCTAACTCAAAAATACGCCAAAGTGCAACTTTGCAACTTCTTAAGCAGGCATGGTGCGGATATTGGGGAGGCACCTGGCACCTGGCAGGTTTCTCGGGACGAGCAAAACAAAGTAAACTAACCTTTTAATAATATGCCTCCGACATCATGGAACCTTTTTTCCCTAAGGAGAAATCCAGAAGGGCCGTTTCTCCCACTCCATTGGCGGACCTCGGCGCTGCAGGCGATCGAATGAGATCTCACTGGTCTCGTTAGCCGCCTAGGTATGTACTATTACATAGACTTTAAGCATGTGTATGTGAGTTTGAATCCTTCGGCCCGGTGATCTATTTGGTTAATTGCCCGTGGTCCTAGGAATGATGTATGTAGGTTGGATTACCCAAACCAACGAAGCTAAAGTCTTTGTCGAATCAAGCACCAATGCGAAAGCGGCTCTAATGAAGTGCGTAATGGATAATCTAAGAATTATCGATGCTTGCGAGTGACGATGTACATGTATTGTACAATACATACCTTGCGTTTTCAGCCTCACCGTTGTCAGCTTCCATGTCTCGTGATATGTCCATATGTTATGTAGGTATATCAGGTACGTAATGAGTATATTGTACGTACGTTATGTACGAGCACCATCGTGAGGCAATACTAAAAGAAGACAAGCTAGTATCCGTAGCCGTGGCACCTAAGAACGCTACAATGGAGGGTTTATCAGCTGATCGACATACCACCGCATTGTCGGGTGCTAAAGGTAAATAGAACTTATGTTACCTAAAGTGACGATATATATTATGTATTATCGGTCGATTTAACTAGATTTATGTATAACCTACAAGCTGTTGGTGATGTAAGGTGTTTTCGCTTTAATCCTACATCAAGACCTTACGATCTAGCACACAAAGCACGTGCAATAATAATGCTCAACGATTAATGCCTGCCTTCGGAATTAATAAAAATAGCCTCAACTAAGTGAAATAATTACGGCGTTGGATTGTACGTGCAACCATCACATAGGAGCGTCCCTGCATAGTGCATTAGGTAGGTACCTGTGCATAGTGTACCTACTTCGTATATCGATAAGAATTTCGATTTAGGATGATGAGGTAGGTTACACAACGTGGGGGTTGGGATTACTAGCTACGTAATAAGAATCACCAATCATAAAGCTAGAATTATCTTAAAATAATGCTCGGATTAGTGGTTTCGCCGAAAAACTTTCCCGTGCTGTGGGACCGTGGGAATAGACATGCGCCTAGGAAATTTCCGTCCATTTGAGCATTTGAGGCTGTAGATCGATTGCGTGGAGTAAGCTGCGAGAAATTCGCTGTCAGAGTGCGCGAGACATTATGGCAGCTCTCAGAGCAGCCCCTCGAGCAGGCCGTCAACTTCTTGGTACGGCCTCGCGCTGGATACCTTGTTCGGCCACTCTTCAGAGATGTGCATCCACCGGCGCTACGCCCGTGATACCTGATATTGAGGAGGATTCCGGCTTAACGGCGCCAATTGTCACAAGGGAAGATGCAAAGGTTACGGATCCAAGGAAAAGGGCAAGTCGCAGAAACTACGAATTGCCGCACGAGAGGTAGGCCCGACATACAATGCGATATAAAATCTTTGAGCGGAGGAATGGGTTGCTGAATCTCGATCGCGTAGATACCGATACCATCCTCCCAAATTTGACCGAGGACCTTTGCACCCGGTTCAACCACCCCCGTCCTCGGATCCCGTCGCTCGAGATTTCGCGCCTGGACCGTTCAACCTTCCCCGACTAAAGCAAACCTTCCACTCGACAACTGCCTCCGACATCATGACTTTGATGTACCAGCACGTTCCCCCCGGAACACCTGACAAGCCTGAAAGGATACGGTTGCGGGAATGGGACGACACATCACCCTATATGAAAAATCGACCTAAGAGAGGTCCCCGAGGTGCTGATGTTCTCTTCCCGCTCGAGAAGAATATCACCTGGCAGAACATTCCCGAGATTAGGGCGGTACATCTAGCTATGTACATGCCTAAGGCGAAGAAGAACCCGGACCATATCACTGTAGGAAGAGCAGTGTTGCGGACTATTGCAGGTGTCCGCCCCGAGGTTACGACAACCAAGACGAGTGTTTCCCAGTGGGGTATTGTCAAGGGTGACAGGACAGGCGTGAAATGCTCGCTATACGGAGACCAAGCTTACGAATTCATGGACAAGGTCATCCACCTAGTCTTCCCAAAGATCAAGGATTGGAAGGGCATTGAAGGTTTGTATCCAGTGACCATTCTGAGAAAAGTAGGCATTAACAAAAACTAGGCACCAGCGGTGATAGCACCGGTAACATCAGCTGGGGTTTCGAACCCCAGGACATGCTCTACTTCCCGGAAATCGAAGCCAACTATTCTGTAAGTTTTCAAAAATAAATTAGGCAACGGAATTAGCCATTTACTTACGTGCGCATTTAGCTATACCCATCCAAGATGATATCAGGGTGCCGCATGACCCTCGAAACAACAGCAAAGTCTGACAGACACGCCAGAATACTCTGCATGAGTCTGGGTATCCCATTCTACGGCAAACTGGTAGACTAAGGGATAGCATTCATGTTCCCTTAAGATGTACATATTCACCGTCCTGCCACGTCGGGATGATGCTATAGACTAATACAGTTGTACAATATATGCGGAATCACAAATCAAAAGAATTGAAAGATGCGTAATGTTAATGCTGTTTCGTGTTTTACGATTGTAGAAACCCGTGACTATCTCTAAGTGTATCATGACCACGTAGATCCCCCTTTTTTGACTGACCCAGATGTGCCCACCAACGCCGATGATGCCATTGTCCCATACCCCATAACCATCGAACCTTATGCATTCAAAGCCCTCTGCTTCAATCCGTTAATCAGCCCGTCCACCGCATCCATATCCGCTGCGTCAATACCCTCCTGGACTTCCTCGCCCCTCTTCCGCAGCTCCTTGGCGGCAGCGTCTAAAGCGGGCTGGTAATTTCTCACGGCGGAGCTGAGCGCATAGACAGCCTTGCGGCGCACATCCTTCGTCTCTCCCTGATCGGCAGCAGCAGCAGCACTCTCCTCCTCCGCCGCCGCCGCCGTCGTCTCCTCCCCAGCACCCGCGCGCTTCTCCACCGGCAACCGGTCCCCAAGCGCCATCCTCACAAGCTTCTCCACCCCGCCCAGCGCCACCAGGCGTTCCTGGGTGGGCGCATTATTCTGGACGGCGGTGCCGATGCACCACGCCGCCATAAGCCGCAGCTGGTCCTCCTCGTGGGCCAGCAGCTCGAGCAGCGGCGTCCACAACCCTAGCTTCGACAAGAGGTTCGCGTTGTCGAGCGACTCGACTAGTTGCTCTAGGTTGTCGAAGGCTGTCAGCTTGGACTCGAGCGTGATTTCTGGGTCGCTGGATGTGATGTGCTCGACGGCCGCCTGCATCAGCTCCGCGTCGGACGGCCCGCCCATGATTGCGGCGAGTGCTTCCGGGCTCAGCGTTGACCGGGGCGCGGCGGATTCGGGGGCCGAGGGGTCGGCCTCTGCGGAGTTTTCGATGCTCCATTTTAGCAGCTCGTTTAGGCCTTTTTCTCCTGCCATTTTTGCGGTTTCTTTTCTACCCTTGGTCGGGTATTTCTTGTGAGGAAAAAATGGTGGTGGTAATTTGAATGGTTAAGTCAAGATTTCCCTTTTCTCTTCGGCCGCGGGGAGAGCTGAGGACAAGCAAGGGAGGTTGCTGAAGTTTGGTAGATTACGTCGTTTTACGTTGTCTGAGACAAGGTTCTGAGTACCGAGCGATTGGTTCGCCTTGAAGATTTTGATGCCGATTTTAGATGTCAGTGCTAGATGTTGAAATTACTGGATATGTTGAAATTTTTAGACAGCGCCTTTACGGAGGTATTGTATTCTTAGGCTGTGTTCGTCAACTTGCCAAATTTTTGGCTGAGTACTTAACTACCTACCTTACAATGTTCTCCATAGATCCCCAAGATTCGCGAAGCTTCACAAGGACAGGGCTGATAAGCTGAGAAAGTGGAGAGAAGATTTAGATATTGGCCAATCAGAAAAGAGTTTTTATTTGAAAAGCTAAGGCACTTGAGGTATCTACTGTCAATTTAGGTAGAATTAGGCACAACTCCTTTTTTTAATAACTGATAGGTACTTGTTAGCTACAGGCGCCACAGGCGGCTTGAATGTCTGATATATTTATCAGGCATGTACCTAGGTAGACATCCTAACAGCCGCTATGTTCTTCAGTCATTGCCATAACATAACAAAGATGATGATGATGATTGAACTGCCCCACCATGAATGCCCCTCACCCCGCCTTCTTTTTCTTCCAGTCTTGACCGCCCTTACCCCTAACAGTTCAAGATATGGTTATAAAATTTGATCAAGTTGCCATGTCACAATGTCAAATTAAATAATACTATTATCGGGAAGCCTATTTGTTAGCGGATTTCGGGCTCCTTTTTCTTCGCATTGCGAATACTTGATAGTTGTTTCTAAAGTTGAAACCAACATGTTATACGCGGCACGTTGCATTACATCTCACCCCTTAAGTATCTGCCTAGAGCAAGTAGCGTATTAGCAAAAGGAACGGGTAGGTCCTTACGAATCATCATATATACGTAGTTGAAGTAGTCGTCGAGAAGGTAGGCGAGGCTGGGATAAACGAGGTAGGACAGCACGAGTTCCTTCGCCCCTGCATACGCAACCCACTCGCCCCCATGAGATTGACAATTCTGACCAGTATCGGCGATGCCTGCTTGGCGTCGAGTTTTCCATAATAAACCTATCAAGTCGGATGTCAGATGGGAGTACAGTTTCTAATTGTATACGTAATTGAGGCCCTATGCTAAGCCACAGGCAACATGATAAACTGCAAACGCATGTGTGGAAGATATTGACTGGGCTGTCGGTCCTCGGCGCATCTTCAAGTACGAGATAAGTTGCAGACTTCCTGAAGTGTAACCCCTGACTACCAGGTAAATACTAAGATAGGTACCGTACACAGACCGCGACAACGAGGTGGGTTAGGTACCTTTAGGTAGTCTATCGGTAAGTCTTGGCGAAGAGATAGAGCTTACCTAGGATTCTAGGCACCTCTAAATAAAACCAGTGATGGATACAGTCATATGCTAAGCAGTAAAGATGATAATTAGTGACGCCTTGTTAGACACCAATTAGATTAGGTACTTAGGTAGACAATCAGGGTGTCGAAAGTTGAGGCTTTTGAGGCTTTTCGAAGATGCCTGATTAATGTTTATCAGCCAAGGTAACTTAACGTTAGGTAGAAGGTATTGTACCTAACTAGAAGGAGCTTATTTATTTGGGCAGATTACAGATTACTAGGCATATTTCCGCTTTGTGTCAGCGGTGAAGGGTGCACTACCCAGTTGTATCCAGTTGTGTCACTGGTTCTATCCAGTTGTAATTGTCTAAGTGAATTGGGTTGTGTGCGTAGGCCATTCTTACCCCTGCAAAATTAGAAAGTATTAGAAAGTACCTTGGGTACTTTGAAGCGGTATGGCGTCTCTGATAGGTGTACGTATTTGTACTTGGTTGTGCCCCGCCTCTTTTTTTGTTTCGGCCCACAAGTTCCTCCCATCGACTGTGGGATCGGTGCATCAAGCCAACTTCGTTCCTCCCTTTTTTCCCACACTCTCGCCCCAGAAGTAATTGACTTGTCCGACTTCTCTACCTTAAAATCAACTTCCACGCCAAACACCTCCTTTTTCTCGTCATCCTTCTGCCCAGCAGACGTCGAGAAAAACAAACACCATCTTTGCTCTCACGATCCGGGAATCGCAAGGGCTATCAGAAACTTCCTCATTCTCTTCTATTTTAATCTTTTAACACCTAACCTACATAATCCATCACAATGGAGGGTAAGTTGCAGCTCAACCTAAGCTCTTGTCTCGAGCCCAACTGGTGGCTTCGAGCTTCTAACGAGTTCATAATGGCTAACATTACTTTTCATCGCAGAGGAAGTTGCTGCCCTCGTTATCGACAATGGGTAAGATTTAACCTCGCTTCACCGCATCCCGAAGCGCACGTCGGTTCTTGGGGGGTGATCTAGATATAATCATGATCCAAAACCTTCGATATTAGCTTCGAAATAAACAATGTTTGAACACTCGAGCTGACTTGATATTAGTTCGGGTATGTGCAAGGCCGGTTTCGCCGGTGATGATGCTCCCCGAGCTGTTTTCCGTAAGTTCCATCCTCGCCCAACCATCGCCCCCGCTTCAGCCTCATCAGAACGGGCCTAAATTTGGAATCTTTTCTAACATGTTAACACAGCGTCCATCGTTGGTCGTCCCCGCCATCATGGGTAAGTAGCTGATCCGATATACTACGTGTACAACCTCCGCGCACGACAATATCTAACAATATGCTAGTATCATGATTGGTATGGGTCAGAAGGACTCGTACGTCGGTGATGAGGCACAGTCGAAGCGTGGTATCCTAACCCTGCGATACCCTATCGAGCACGGTGTCGTTACCAACTGGGATGACATGGAGAAGATCTGGCATCACACTTTCTACAACGAGCTGCGTGTGGCTCCTGAGGAGCACCCCGTTCTGCTCACGGAGGCTCCTATCAACCCCAAGTCCAACCGTGAGAAGATGACCCAGATCGTCTTCGAGACTTTCAACGCCCCCGCCTTCTACGTCTCCATCCAGGCTGTCCTCTCTCTGTACGCTTCCGGTCGTACCACCGGTATCGTGCTCGACTCCGGTGATGGTGTTACCCACGTTGTCCCCATCTACGAAGGTTTCGCCCTTCCCCACGCCATTGCTCGTGTCGATATGGCTGGTCGTGACTTGACCGACTACCTCATGAAGATCCTCGCTGAGCGCGGTTACAGCTTCTCTACCACTGCCGAACGAGAAATCGTCCGAGATATCAAGGAGAAGCTCTGCTACGTCGCTCTTGACTTCGAGCAGGAGATCCAGACTGCTGCCCAGAGCTCCAGCCTGGAGAAGTCCTACGAGCTTCCCGACGGTCAAGTCATTACTATTGGTAACGAGCGATTCCGTGCCCCTGAGGCTCTGTTCCAGCCTTCTGTGCTGGGTCTTGAGAGCGGTGGTATCCACGTCACCACTTTCAACTCCATCATGAAGTGTGATGTCGATGTCCGAAAGGACCTCTACGGCAACATTGTCATGGTACGTATTTATTCTCTAGGCGTCTCTAATCTAAGTACTAATGTGTTATCTACAGTCTGGTGGTACTACCATGTACCCTGGTCTCTCCGACCGTATGCAGAAGGAGATCACCGCCTTGGCCCCGTCATCCATGAAGGTCAGAATTATCGCTCCCCCTGAGCGAAAGTACTCCGTCTGGATCGGTGGTTCCATCTTGGCTTCTCTGTCCACCTTCCAGCAAATGTGGATCTCCAAGCAGGAGTACGACGAGAGCGGTCCTTCGATCGTTCACCGCAAGTGCTTCTAAGGTATATACTCCCATGAGAAATTCCGCTCCTGATCTAAGGGTCTGACAATAAATTAGCGCTTGAAACACCGCAAACCCAATAATTTCTCACGAGCCCGTAATATTCCCAACCGGGGTGCGACCTGTTTGGAGCTTCCACCGTTGCGAATGTATCCCAGTCGAGACTCGTATCTACGAAAAATTCTGATAATGGTCGAAAGATTGGGGCTGTATTACTCCCAGGGAAAAAGAGAATATGAGGTGCTTTACTTTTAGGAGGCCCATTCAAGCACGGAGTGGACTAGACAATTCCAGCCGAGGTTGATCATATACTACTTTATTTCTTCGTTACACTAATAAGTCTGGCGTGCCACCTTGTGAACCACAAGCATGTAAAAACCTACTACGTAATGATTCAGTAGAAACTATATTTCTTCAACGATTTGTAAATTTGCTCGTGTAATAACAACTAGTATAGGCTATAATGCTTCACAAAGTGATTACGCAGCAAAATCTCATGTTATGTTGGAATGCTTACGTTTTCACATATATTCATGTAGATGGGGCCAGCTGCCTACCTTTTTAAGCTTATTTATTTTCTATTCTTTCGCTATTCCTCGAGCTATCCTGAAATTCTTCCTCCTCTCCACCTTCCTCGAATTCCTCTTCTTCTAGATCCTCTTCTTCCTGCAGCGCGGTCCCAGCCTGAGCCTGTTGTTTCTCCTCGTCGAGCTTACGATACTTCCGGCGACTCTTCTTGGCGGAGCTGGCCTTCTTCTTGCGCTTAAACTCGCCGACGATGGCGGAGCGGCTCTCGTCGCCGCGGGATAACTGGTCCAGCTTGTCGGCTAGCAGTTGCCGGGCTATGACGCGGTTCTGGGAGCGGGAGCGGGTCGCTTGGGACTTGATGACGAGGCCGGTGGGGAGGTGCTTGAGTTGGACTGCTGAGTTGGTTTTGTTCTGGGGCTTGTTAATCAGTGCATTCTTTGTGTCTGGTGTTCTGTGGGCTACTGCGTGTGTAGGAAGGAATGTGGCATGGCATAGCAGGTAGAGAGAGTATAGATATATATATATATATATATATGTATATGGGGTGTGTAGTCAGGTAGCTAGGCACGCACAATCTTCTGCCCGCCGGGCCCGCTGCCCTTCAGGAAGGACTCCTCGATGTCTTCCTCGGGAGGCGGCTTGGGGCGCGGCGGTAGGTTGGTGTTTTTGAGGAGGGGCGGGGAGGCGGAGAAGCTGGACGGTCGAGATGAGATGGTGGAATATATATGGGATGGTCGAGTTATGGAGGAGAGGTAGTTGCGGAGCGGTTGCAGCCGCAGTAGCAGCGACGGCATTGTTGGTATTATTGTCGTGCTGGAGGTAGGAGCTGTCGACTACCTAGGAGACCCTTCTAATAATGTTTAATTATATGTCATTGCATATGTTGGGTATACATGGCAGTGAATTGAGTTTATACTTCGTACATAGAAAATGTCAATTCTGCATCTTTGCAGTATGTAAATAGCATTAGCAGCTGCCAGACCCGTGCCGCGACGTCACTGGCACTTACGTTTTTCTCCCTAGCTTAGATTACGTTAGGTAGTAGATAGGTACTTTATGTACCTAAGTACAGTAACCTTACCCTGCCTTACCTTACCTAATAAATTAGCGCGGCAGGCAATTCCGACAATTCAGCAAAGGCACCCCCATAAAAGGGGGAATTCCCACTTTCCCCTTCCCATTGGTCCAATTAAGTTGTCCATATTATGAGTGCAGCCGTTAACAAGAGCAAGGATCCGTGCTGTTGTACCCGTACCCTTGAGGGCAATTCGCCAATTAGGTACGCGTCCCGTTTTCCTTCGGCCGGCGGTGGATTTTTGCGAGACCCTTTTCCCGCGAGCGTAGGTAGTTCGAGAACCGCTTCGACTTATGTATATCCCTGTCTTCTGTGAATTACATACTCCTTCCAAGACGAGACGAGACGAGGCCTCCGAATACCTATCACCATACATATCTACTACATGCAAGATCTGTTTCGCCGTTGACGACGTTTTCTTGAAACACTTTAAACAATAAAGGCAAAGGGGGGGAACACAGGTCTCTGACTTGCTTGATCTATCGCGCGAATCCGACCGGTAGAGACGGAAAAGACTCGAATTGGATTTGGCAAGGGAGATAAGGGATATCAAAAAAAAAAAAGAAAAAGAAAAAGAAGAAAAAGAAAATATAATCAAGATGGAGTACCTGACAAAAGAGCCCGAGAACCTCAATGCCGTTCAGCGGTTCGGCCGCTGGCTTCGGTTGAAGCAGTACCAGATTGAGGTCACGTTCGGTGTCTACATGTTTACGTCGGCCGAGAGATTTATATTTTGTAAGTTATCCGTTTGTTGACGCTATCATTGCCGCAGCACTGTCCCTCGATATACTTCTACATCAGGGAAAGGAAACAGGATAGATACACTGCAATACTAGCGCCGAGTTAAGATGGCCTACGTGCTAATTGTCTCTTATATACAGGGTCTGTCGTATTCCTCTTGTGCAGTCTATTGACCATCGCCGTCGTACTCTACCTTCCCCAGCATCTTCTCTTCATCATCAGCCGCGCCTGGTTCTACGTCAACGGCGGCGACAGCGGGGTTGCATCCAATGTAGTCGCAGGCAATAAGGACGCACTATCACTAGCAACTTCATCTATGGCGAAGACTATGGCGGCAGCGGCTACTGAGACGGCCGAATATATGAACCGGGAGCTATGATGCTTGGAGAACCCCCTGACTGTGGAGGATCTAAAGATACACGGACGAAGCCTCGGGCATATTTCTCTTGTGCGAACCAGCAGACGACGAATGATATAATAATGGTAATCAGTGGTGCTTGTATATGGTGCAGCCCGGTCTACGAGTGATGGGATGAGGCGTTAATGTGCTTGAGCAAGATAGTTTGGCGTTTGGATCGATAGATTTGTATCAATGGGCTCGCGGATAACTTCCAAGAAGCCCACTGGGAGGGCGTGCGTGTTTAGACGGTTGCATAGCTGGAAGCAAGCCAATTTCACGGGGTTCTCTCTGGGAACGAATATACCCTAAGTGAGCCATCCTCCCCAGCTATCGCCAGCTCATTCACCGTTCGCATTGGCCTCCATGAGAGTTGGAGAACAGCCTTAGCCAGGCATAGTCTATAGTTAAACCGTCAGTTGTTGATATTTCAGAAGTTAGACATCAGAACTTACTCTGGCTTTAAACTCAACTTTGAAGATACACCGAGAGATGTCGCGTCGATCGAATATATCGAAACATTTCCAACCTCTGTGCCCACGGCAAGGAGAAAGGTGTTACTTTCGGTGTTACGATGTAGAAAGTCGATAGCCGTGACCGGATGAGTTTCTGGTATAGTAGTTACGCAGGTGATGCCCGAGTCCGCGGAGTCGGGCGATGCGTGTCGCCATATCTTCACCTGCTTGTCCCGACCCGCTGTGGCGAATACAAATGAATTGGCCCAAGGAGCCCATGCTGCATCCAAGATCATCCTCGAATGTCCCTTGGGGTTGGACTGCAGGAGCTTATAGCTCTGCTTATTATCATTGTCCCTCTCGAAAACCGCCCATTGCCTGTCTCGCCCAACGCTGAGTAAGTACCTGTCGTCGGGAGAGAATCGTAGGCGTGTCGTAGTTAGAGAATGGGCTGTTAATGGTGGTTTCACTTCAGTCCACTTCTCCGTCTCGAATAAACGGATGACGGCATGGTTGATTGAGCTCGCTTTGCATGCGCTAGCAATCAAAGTTCCATCGTGACTTACAGCCAGACATGAAATCTCGTAGCCGTGTCCGTAGAGCTTTTCAATTTCAGGCCAGAGGGTGTGCCGAGAGAGGCTGTCCTCGAATGGCGGGTGGTCGATATCCAATACGGATTTGCGGACCGTGGACCCTGGATCTAAGGCGCCTCGGTCCGTCTCGGGATTGGCTGCTTGGACTTCGAGATCGTCGTCGACAGCTTCGATTGCCTTGTTTGAGAGGCCGAGGACCGGCATGTTGGCAGCGTCGGGCATAGTCTCGACGTCTTCATTGCCGATGTCACACAACCTACTCAGTAGCTTTGCCACCGCCTTCGGCTCATCAAATACACGCATCAGCTTCTCGTCGGCGCCGGAGACGAACTTGGAATTCCCAAGCGAGTCGATACAGTTGAGGTCATAGCCGTGGATTTGCGGCCGAGCCATCTCATGCCACGTCTTTTTACCAGGTCCGTTGTTCCAGCTCGCGTGTAACCGTGTCGTCTGGTCTGCACTCGTAGAAAGTAAATAGTCACCATTCTTTGACCATGCTATACCGGTGACGGCTCTTGTGTGGCCAGTGATACCGATGTGTGGGATCCATTGATCTCGCTCCTTATTATAGTTCCACAACCTCCAACTACCGGTCCTCCCGAGGCATACGACCGAATTTCCATCCGGTGACCAAAGTCCCGTCCAGAAACCACCTGTGCTGCCTGTTGCTGTAGTGGCACCCTGTTCCCTACTGATCTCACCGAGCCGTACAGTCGTAACCCAGATCCCTGATGAAGGATCTGCCTCCCATATAGCTAGCGTATTATCTGCGGAAGTAGAAAGGAGTTGGAGTTTTCCGGTAGATGGATCCGAGTACCATCTGGCACTATAAATCCAATCATCGTGTCCTAGCAATAGAGCTTCGAATGTGATGGAATAGTCATCTTCTACAGTTTTCAGTCTATGGGCCTTGTTTGAAGGAGACCTGCCCGGCATAAATGCACCCATAGACGGATCAGCTCCATTTGCAGTTGCGGCGGGCAACTCTTTACCCTGGTGAAATCGCCAGAGGCGAATATACTTATCCTGGCTCGCAGATGCCAATATCAGATCGCTATCAGGACTAGTTCCCTCCCATGTAAAATCTAATGACCGAATCCAACCCTCATGACCTGACAAGGTCGCCTGAAGCTGGAACTCGGGGTTATTTCTAGAACTTGCCACGAAGACTTGGACGATGTCTCTAGTTCCCGCTACGGCTAGGACCAAGGCTTCACCATCTTGTCTAAGCGTACTTAGAGCTATTGAAAGAGGGAAGAATTTCGGAGCAGTCTTAATCGTTTGTAGCAACCGAACATTGCCTTCTTCCAAAACCCACACTTTTATCGAGGCATCTGCTGCTCCTGTAGCAAAGATCCTTGAGGTCGAAGTTGCCGATGCTCCTTCATGACAAGCTGCTATAAAGTTAATTGCTGCTGTATGTCCCTGTACAGTCTGGATGCAAGATGCAGTAGTGATATCAGAGTCATCGGATGAGAGTTCCCAGACTTTCAAGCTCTGGTCATCGGCACCACTGAGCAGATAAGTTTTAGACTCCCCCTCAAGTTTGGGCAGAAACCTGACAGCCTTAACGGCACCATTATTTCCGGAGATGAGACTTGTCACACCTCTTGGTTGTGAATCCTAATGAAATAAAAGTATTAGAAATTAACAAGATATACTTCAGACCCTTGAATTATAATTAGTTGGACCTACATGGGGTCGCCAGAGAGCGATATATGAGTCAGCTCCGTAAGCCACAATCCCATCTTCGTTCCAATCTGCTACAGCAGTATGCCTATTGGCACCAGCGGAGAGGTAATCTACGCCGATCTGGTAATTCTCCATGTGCGGCGTTGCAGTTGTGTTTTGTATGGGAGACAATTTGGTACATGGCAAGTTGCTTTTACAAAGTATAAAAGACAGGGCTTGTGATTGGTCGGTGCTCCAAAAATTCAGTTGAGAAGTCTGCGTCGGTTGCAAAATCCCCATTCGCCGGGTGCATGCAGTTGGCACTATATGCTTACAGTATAGGTACTGAATTAGGTACCTAGGGTAACTCTATCTACACTGACTTACATAAACCTTTCCTCTCTTACGGCGTACCTAATGTAATATGTAACTTATTACTGTTTACTACCTAATATTTACCGTATTCATAAGGGATCGTAACTAGAAATAAAGCTTTCATTTATTCCCTTTTCTAGTATATACTCTCATATCAAATACCTAATGTTTAATAATTGCCTACCTACTTAGGTAGGTAGTTTCAATGACGTAACTATGAAGAATAAATGACAGCTTATATATGTAGGTGAACCCTCAACTCCTATTGAAGCATGCAGCGTACAAGAGGCTAATGCTAAATATACCGTAATTTAAGACACGATACTATAAATGGAAACCTGGTACCTTAAAGAACCAGAGTATGGGTTTTTAATGTTGGATTGCCCTATTACACCTTAAGCCACAAATACCCTACTGGACGATATCTCGGGGCTAATAAGAACGTCTCCTTTCCACGCCGTCGAGCGTCGTATACAAGTAATTGGTTCACACAAAGGAGCACCGTTCCGATTCCCCGTTTCGTAATTCTATACTCCCAGAGCAGAACCGCACCATCAAGAAATTGCCTTCGCAAAGTAGGTAAGATTAGTAGGTAGATAGGTAACCAGATAACTAGACAAACTCCTCGCGAACGCTACGATGACCAGGATGGAAATGGAACATCCTTACCCCCTTACCCCCTTACCCCCTTACCAATTACAATATCCAAAACAGCCGCCCTTAACCCTGAGCTCCCTCCTTGCCGCCGTGCAGCAAGTATACATACATATGCTATGTATGCCCGACCAAGACACACGTGCTGTACCCGCAGGCACCTGATCAACTTGGGCGCTGATGGAGCATCCACCAAAAGCTTCCGCATGAGCGTCGGCTCTATTCTGAGCGGCGTACCAGCCCCTTGCCTACCGGCCACCGGGTGAGATCGATCTACCTCTGAATCCCGTGGCGCCAGGGTTTACCCCCTCGGCGCCACGAGGGACATTGAAAGCGTCTGCCAGGGGCGACAAGCGACCTGCTGCTGCGAGCTGCGAGCTGCGTGTTATAACCTCTCCCGCGCAGTATGTATGCATTGCCGTCCGGACCGTGTCGACAACTAGAATGTGCTGCGGGCTAGCTAGCAATTGGGAACGGCGGCACGGTGCAGGCCTCCCGGTTTGATGACGGCTAGGAAAATGAGGGGAAGATATATCCTCCTGACAAATATTTTGTCAATTTCGAGTCATCCAATTTTGTGTCTTCTAAAATACCTAACCTACTGCTTCTCGCCTATCATATCATAGTCTCTGCTACGTATGGAGATTCCGTCCCATACGCGGGCGCACCACTATGTAACAGATGCAGGCTCTTAATTAATACGTAAGACGGTCAGCACTTTGATATATTGTCGCCGTTGAAACTTGGTACTGCGCAACTCGCCTGACCCAGGAGATTTGAGATGATCTGATTCCCAAGCCACTCGCTTAGTGAGACGTGCATGTGATTAATCAATTGGTCGTAACAGAATATCTCAGTGGAAGCCTAAGGGTTCTATGATACGTACGTATGTTATGTTGCGTTTCCCGGCTAAGGGTCCCTCGCAATTTCTATGTCACCGTCCCTATTCGATGGTTTAGAAGCGGCTTCTACGCAGTATCTCCTCGAATCTACGCCGAACGGGAATCTTTCAAGGGGTAGCTGGTATCTTGTAGCACCACTTCTAGAGGTCTCTAGACTGGTGATTGGTGGCTAGAAAATTATGTTGGGCTTAGTTTCGTGTGAATTTGTGTTACCGCCTACGTGGTGCCAACGGAACAACTGAAGTGTTCCATCCAGATGGGTCTTAGGTTAGTTCAAGAGCCTCACGCTCTTCAGTAAATAATTTAGGAATAGTGTGCATCTGTTGTCGCACAGGATGTCATGGTCGAGCTTTCTTGTTGTCTACTTTTGGAGGTGGTATCTTTGCCTTATGCTGTGGCATGGGGGAGAGTCTTGACGATATTGGGTCATATTGGGCAATATCGCTGATCTAACGATATTTTTTATACCCACGGAGTTTTAGTGGTACTAATAGTGGAAATGGG